TACTCTGAAAGAAAAACTACAAACGAATATTAAACTCTCCTCCATGATCTGCATGCTGAAGTATTTTGGAGGAAATGTACTGTCACCTGCAGCTTATAATGAAATGCAGTAAAAATACAATGGATTGATGACTGGCTCAAGGGACAGAGAGGAGGTTAGACGTGACAGAGCAAGGGCAGTGAAATGCTATGGTAGAATCTAACTGGTTTTATGAGCGCTTATGATAAAATTCTTTCCACTTGGCTGTATTTTGGAAATTTTCACAATAAAATGTTGGACTAAAAGGTAGACACCTCGCCATTAAAACGAAAATCCGTTCTACGGGTACTGATTACAAACGCTCCGCCTCCCCGCAGTCGGCCACGGGCGCGGGCGGCAAACATGCTGCGGGGTGACTTGCCGGCCGGGCAGCTGGGGTTGCAGAAGAACATTATTCTGGCTCTGCTTAAGCCTATAAAGCTGAGTGAAAAATGTATGGTTTGGGCTCATATCCATCCTCTACTTCTCACGTCATGTCAAAAATTATTCATCTCTTCCAATTTGTCTCAAGTTCAAACTTTTCTGAAACAAAGGAATAACTGTCCAAAATGTGTCAATGAGCTTTATTTCCCCTTCAGGAAAGTCATTCTTTAGGAAAAGAGAGAGATTTGGCTTAGGGAAGTCTTGGTCACTGAACAAATAGGGTTCTAATTTGAGGGCACAGTGGAAAAAAGTATCAAAGCTGACAACGATGGAATTTTGTAAGTTTCATAGGTGCTGCCACTTAAACCATTGCCTAGGATTCTATTACAGTTCAGCAGGAAAGGTTCAATTATAGTACATAATTGTCACTTATTCAAATATTTGAATCTAATGACAACCCAAATCAATAGTGATTTGGACTATTTTTTTCTGATGAATTAGTGATTGCCATTCACAAGATTTAAACAATAGTCCTTAATCAGAAGAAATTGAGAAATCTAGGAACAGCAGAGCAAGCAATATAAAACAAATTAGCATAGGAGATTTGGAGCACAGACAGAACAAACAAAATGAAAAAAAAGGTTTTCTAGCAAGTGGCAATTACTAGTTTGGCCAATATGGAAGAAAATGCACTAAAGACAAATATTCTACAGTCTGAAAGAGTTTGAATAGCTATTAGCATAGATTAAATCTGTGGAAGGAAAGGAAAATGGCACATGGGTTTTCTACTTGCTATAGTATCCAAAAATTCAATGCCTATAAAATGGAGAAATCATTCTAATTAGGCAAATATAATGATTATGCTTATTGGAACTGTAATTCAAATGCCAGCTTCCATACCATAACCATACCATACACATCATAGCATTCAAGTGAATAAATTAATCTCAGCTAGAAAAAATATCACACAAGGCTGTTTGCTTTTTATCTGTGTACATGTATGTAAGCTAACAGAGCACAGGAATCAGATTTTTCGTGTTTTTTTTTCCTTATAAAATCGACCTGAGACCGGGCGTGGTGGCTCACGCCTGTAATCCTAGCACTCTGGGAGGCCGAGGCGGGCGGATTGCTCGAGATCAGGAGTTCAAAAAAACAGGAGTTCAAAACCAGCCTGAGCAAGAGCGAGACCCCCGTCTCTACTAAAAATAGAAAGAAATTAATTGACCAACTAAAAAATATATATACAAAAAATTAGCCGGGCATGGTGGCGCATACCTGTAGTCCCAGCTACTTGGGAGGCTGAGTGAGGCAGGAGGATTGCTTGAGCCGAGGAGTTTGAGGTTGCTGTGAGCTAGGCTGATGCCATGGCACTCACTCTAGCCTGGACAACAAAGTGAGACTCTGTCTCAAAAAAAAGTCTACGTGAGAGTCATATTTATTAACTACCTAGATGTTATCTACTTTTAGACAGACTAGTGATAATGCTTATTAGAAAATTTTTTAAAAATGACAATATCAAATGAAAATTATCAAGCAAATGCTAAGACTAGGGAAAAGTCTATAAGCCTTTGAAACGACCCCCTAAAGGAAGAGGCCAAACCTCTGTGGCTCTACCAAACAAAGATAAATTATAGATAGATTTTTTTTAAAATGAGATTCTTGCCAAGAAAACCAGAATGAGGAAACTATGCATTTGGTCTTGACATCTACCATTTGGCAAAAATGGAAAATTCTTGCTGAAGCATGTGATGGGTAGATGTGGCCCTGGCGTGCTGAGGCTCATGTATAATGCAGTGGTACAGATGCTAACAGGCTCACACAAGAACGCTTCCATTTATTTTTCATGGGCTTTGAAAATTGATCTCTAAAGTAGTCCCATGTGAGTGTCTCCTTGGCCCAACAAATCTCTGCGAGTCCTTTGATTTTCTTTGCATCCAGAATGAATCTATCTATTGTGGCTATGCCTCTTAATTGACAAGATGAAGCAATGGAAAAGAAGCCAAGTTTCTGATTAAATTAAGGTGCCAGTTCTCTGAATTATGGAAGACCTCTTCCAAACCCCAAATGGATCATATGATTTTTTTCCAGGACTGGTTTAAGAAAAAGTGAATAAACAATAGGACCAGCTCTGACAATCCAGGGCTGAAATGAATGGCTATAGGATTTCTTCCTAAGCTCCCGAAGCTGGAAGCACTTCCTTGCCTTCCCCAGACTCATGCCAGAAAACTTTCTTATTATCCTGTCTCATCCATCCCTGTCATCCCTCCCCGTTGCACACACCCTTGCCCCAGTACTTCAAGCCTTAGAAATTACTTCTGTACGTGAAACTTAAAACATATTGGAGCCCATTGGAGTTGGACGGGGAAAGCACGATAGCAACGCCCCCTGGAGTAAACATCTAGGTGGGGAGAAGTAAAATGTCGCCATCACCTCCAGCACCCCAGTGCAGTGGGTACATCAGCATCCTGTCTGGGGTGAGGGTGGGGTGAGGGTGGAGGTTTTCATTCTGAACTTCTACAATGTTTCACTGTAGATGTCTCTTGGACAATACACAACTCTTCTTTCCTCGGATCTTTCATTAACTTCTTTTTTATCTCTATTTGCCCAAAGTGTTCAAGGTGTATGGGAAACACCGTTTTCTGCCTCTCTACAGGCTCTTCTAACCGCAAGGGAAAATTCCCAGCTCGAAACGCATTCGCGGGGCGCATGCTCCATGGCTGCAGGGCTGCAGAGTTCAGCAAACCCAGCGGCATGAATGCAAGGAATGCGAATCATTCTGCTTTGGAATCCATGAAGGCTCAACAGAATTCAGGGATAATTTATTTTGTGTTCTTTTTGTGAACCATGAAATAAATCAACAAAAAAGTGAAAAAGTGTATATGGGCAGTTCACAGAGAAATGATAAAAATTCCCACCTGCCCACCACTGAGACAGAGGTGCCTCAGAAGCCCAGGGGAACCCTCACCGAAGGCATCCTTTCTCAACACCAAAGACAATTATCTTCGGAATGTTTTCGCAATGAGTTTCTTACTTTTCTATAGAATTTTACCACTTAAGCTGGCATCTGTTTAATTTTCTCTGCTTATAAACTTCATATAAATGAATTATTTGGTCTTGAATATGACCAGGGAGCTGGCAGGACATGTTGCTCAAAGACTTAGTATGGTCCCAGTTTCTAAGGTGTCAGGGTCATTGAAAAGCTCAAGGGAAACAGGGATTTTCTGCTTCAAAGGTCATGATATGTTATGGGTTATTGTGGTCTCATGTCATTGCTTTGGTTATTGTTAAAACCTGAAGAGAAAAAGGTGTTAAAACACAAAAATGTAATCTAAACACTTAAAGCTTCAAAAATGCTCACTTTTTTTTTCTGAGACAGAGTCTCACCAGGATGCCGTGCATCAGCCTAGCTCGCAGCAACTTCAAATTCCTGGGCTCAAGCGATCCTCCTGCCTCAGCCTCCCAAGTAGCTGGGACTACAGGCATGTGCCACCATGCCCGGCTAATTTTTTCTAATATTATTGTAGTGGCCAATTAATTCTTTCTATTTATAGTAGATGACGGTCCCTCTGCTCAGGCTTTGCGGTTTGTAACTCCTGACCTTGAGCAATCCTCCCGCCTCGGCCTCCAAGAGTGCTAGGATTACAGGCCTGAGCCACCACGCCCAGCAAATGTATTGAAGGAAAAATAAATATTAATATTAGGGGAAAAGGGAAATTTATGGCATTATTTGAGGTGAGTTACTGATCGGAAATAAAAGACAGGTCTTCTGATCCCCTAGGTTATCAATTGCCAATTAAAGCAAAACTGAATACAGAAACATCTAAATTATCGGGGGAAAGGTGTCATACTGAATAATTAACTAATACCCATAAACCTCAAGTCATCCTTCCTATCACCAAATCTTTTTTTTTTTTTCTATCACATTTAAAAATTTATAGTATTGAATGCATTTAATTTTTTTTTTTTTTATTTTTTATTTTTTTTTTTTTTTTTTTTTGTGTAAGGGATATAGAAATAATCTTTTTTATTCTGACTTCTGGTATCACCAAAATCCAAAGTGTTGGGGAGAAATGAAAAATAAATTATTAGTCAAAGGAAGTTAATGATAGTAACGAATGACCAAAGCCCAACAATTCAAAGTACTGTATCTAATCTTGAGTTATGTCTTTTGAGCCCAGAAAAATATTTAATTAGAAACTATATGTCGCGGTCCTAGGCACGTGGGCTCACCGCCCTGTAATCCTATGCACTCTGGGAAGCCCGAGCAGGCCGGACACTCCGAGGTTCAGGAGTTGAAACCAGCCTGACGAATGACCAGATCCCGTCTCTCTGCATAAAAGAAAGATAATTAATTGCCATCTAATATTCATATATGAAATAAAATTAGCTGGTTTGGTCCGCATTGCCTGTAGTTCCCAGCTATCAGGAGGCTGGAGGCCATGGAGGAATTGCTTGAAGCCAGGATTGAGGTTGCTGTGACCAGGAAATGACTGCTACCGCACCCATCTAGCCTGGGCAAAAAAAAAAAAAAAACTTATCAATTCTTCTATATGCAATTTTAAAGTTAGAGTTACAAATTTGAAAAAAAATTTTAAAAGAGTTATAATAGGAAGCGTGGCAAATCACCTTGGCTCAGTTCTAATACCCCTTAGACAATAATTACTTATTTAATCAGGTGTACAATAAAGTGTTTCTGTTTTATGGTGACTTTATTTAAATAGAAGAAATTGATTGTTATCCATATGAAAATAAATCAGGCATTTTGCTTACAATCTTGTATTGGAAAAAACAAAAATATTCTGTGCAAAACACAAAAGGAGAATTTACCACTGAGAAAAATTTTTGCGGGGAAAAGGACAGGAATGACTGAGAAACATTGATGTCTCTTGGGTAATGTTTTAAAAATTAAATGTTTACATTCAGAGATTTTAAAATAGAAAACATAAGCCATCTAACTGTGAAGAAATCAAGATTTAAGTTTTAAGTTACTATACTTTTCATTAATTTATCACAAGTCATTCTGCTAAATTACCAGCATGGACCACAGCAATGATAAGTTAAATGCCTACAATGTTTCTAAACAGTAATTGTAATATTCTAACCATATCATAAGATTGAGTCAAATGTTCTGTCTAGATCAAAGAAATTACTTTGTAACTGACCAAGCCTGTGTGATTGCCTGCTTTAACCCTCCAGTTCTTCTGGGGCTGCAGGGGAAATTGACTACTGACAAAAACAACACAGTTTACAAAGCACTATTATCCCAATTCTGGTCTCTAATGAGTTACCTAGTGATTCTCCCCATTATGCTATTTGAAAATCTGCCATGGGACTGCTTGAAGGAAGAAACAAAAGTGCAACTAGGTATCTGTCTCCAGGATGCTGAGTGTGTGATTAGTGTAGAGATTATGGAACCAAAATCCATAGTTTTCCTCTACTTTTTGAAAGGTAATACATTGTCCACCAACATGGTTTGTTCTTGATCTTTTAAATTCCAGTTTTCATTGAGTCAGCTCCATTTGGCACAGTGGATCCAGGGCTCTTTGCTGTCATAATGGGTTCGATGACAGGAGAGAATGGGGCTTCTTAACTCCCTCCGCAAGGGGCTGTGCCCCATAGAAGGGCAGATGACAGCTTCGCTCCATTACCTGGGGACAGGAGCCTTTATCGCTGCCTGGTGGGATCCAGCAGCCTTCCTCTGTGCCCATTCCAGACGTCTGGGGTCCCTCCCCCCACAAAGTCAGTTGCACTGACCCTATACAAAGGAAAAAAGAAATTTCAGTATTCCCATCATTCAAAATGCCTGGCAAGAGAGACCCTAATAGTAGTAGTTGGAGAATTGGCCTGAAATATGAGGCACAAAAACAATTCATTCTCAAACCACTCTGGACCCAATTTTTAAAAGCTAAAATAGTCTTGGTTGGCTGAGATGATTCAAAGAACTGTGCTACCTGACATGGCTTATTAGCTTTCCCTCTGTACCTTCTATCTCCCCGTCTGGACCATGAATTACTTGGGAATAGAGCTCAGGTTTTGAATATACTTGTATTCCTTTTCTCTGGCTTGGTCCTCCGCACTTAACATGCACCAACTAATGCTGGCCGAAGTCAATGAAGATGGTTGTGGGATTGACCACTGGCACCGTGGTACTGTGTTTTAATGGATTTTCTAGGAGCCCAGCCCAGAGCCAAACTAGATCTTCCATCATTCCGCACACCACATCTCTGCCCAATCTCCCTGTGCGTTCCCACCCCAGGCATTTACGAGACAGCTTGACAGGATTGGGGACATGATCACTCACACCGGGAGACAGTTGTACAAATGGCCCAGAGAGAATGGGTCAAATTGTTTGCAGTAGGGTTCACAAAAAAAAAAAAAAAAAAGGAAACATTCTAATCTACTCCTGAGTACTTGGCTAACCATAATGAGTCCTTAGTTCTTTTCTGTGTTTAACCACATTCTTGTCAAATCATTGTGCTATTGATTCACTTGCAAAATTATATGTACCTCTAAAATGGATTACCTTTGTAAGAAAGAATTATGTGTTTTTAGCTGCTCAAGAAAAAGTAGTATGTAACTCAAAGGCATTCCATTACTTTCTAATAGTGCTACCAATAAAAATAAAAACCCAAACAACTTCTGAAAATGCTGATTGTTTTCATTATCCAGGCAGCAGTAACCATGCACATAGAAAACTATATTATTTATTATAGTTTTTATATTCAATTCTTAAGTGCACCTTAATATCCAGACCTTCTTCAAATTAGGCAATGAATGACTGAATTCAGTATTTTGGTTTACATGGCAACATACATATACAGGAAGGGAGCTTAGAGTGAGTTTTCCAAAGCAAGAAGCCCATGTTCTCGCTACAAAGAAACCTGAGCAGGAAGGTCTGGCAATAAACACGTTGGTGAAGGGCAAATATAGAAAATGCCGACGGAGTTGGTATTTCATTAGCTCCTTTCATCAGCAGAGGAACTGTTTTTGTTGGCTCAAAGTTTCTCTAAACCTTTCCAGAGGCTTATGACATAAAAGTGTGTCCAACAATAACCTCTGGTTTGGGAAATAGAACTATGATAACTGAGACCAAAGCCCAAAAGGTTGATCATGATACAACTCTTGGCAAGAGTAATGTGTCAAAGGGTATCTAACTCCATTTCTACAAAGTAGACTGAATTCCTAAGGACCTGGGTTGATTTTATGGTCCCTCCGCATGTGGTTTGGCCAGACTAGCCCCTGATAAGACTCTGAAATCCCTAGGACAATCCCAGACCCATTTCCCAGACGCTCAACACAGCGTATACAAGGTCATCATTCGTGTGGTTAGAGGAGACTTCACTGAACACACTCGGCTCTCAGGTAAGAGAACCACTCACCAGGCTGCAGGGAGGACAACTGGCCAGCCTCTGCCGCCTGGCCGTCATTGCCAGCCACAGGCTGACGGCCATTCCTGAGGTCTTGGTGCTCCTTTATAACCACAAACTGCAGAAGACAAAAGGGGGAGAGAGGATATTATTATATAATTCACAAATTATCTCAACACACATTAAATCAAAGTCTATGGCTTCATCATGTTCAACCTATGGAAGGTAAAAGTTGGAAGAACAGCCCTGTCAAGTTTATCCCTCTGGCTAAAGAAAGATTCCATTTTCCATTAGGAACTTTATGGTTACCTTTTACTAAAACAACTAGGCACTATCCATAGCTTTACTGAAGAATCTCTTCTAATTCTGGAATCCCAGCTTTTGGGTCATGGATCCCTGGGGGCCGCTGTTTAATTATGAGCAACACAAGAATCCATAAGTATTCTAGGCGTTGCCCATACAGCAGACAAGTAATACCTCATATATGGAGGTGCCACAACTTTCCCAGTATATACATGTGTATGTGAATAAAATTCATCTAAACATGCTACCAAGTTCTGAGTAATTTTGAGTCATTAGTAGGTACCAATAACTAATAGTGCAACAACTATTTTGCAAGGGCCTACCAAATGCTTTCTCATAGTTGGACAGCTTAGGAACCAGAGTTTTAAAAGGGAGGCCCAGAAAACTGCATTTCAGTTTACAAAATGATCACCTTGGTCATTATTTGTGTTGTCCAAAATGGGACCGAGCACTTGCCATGCAGGCTGACCAGAGGCCACTCTAGGTGGATTAGATATTAAAGTAGATCAATGATAAAAGGGAGGAAAAGAATGACCCTACGCTCCAGGACAAAGGATGCGGTGTGGTGCAGTCCTTCCCGTCAATCAGTAACCCAGGGGAAGTGCCGCCCAGGGTTTCGGGAACCTGCTCCATCGGTCAGAAAGGGAGGGAGCCCGGCTCAGAAGCGACAGGAGGAAAAGGGAACAGAAAAGACTCTCTTTGCCCCAGATTTTCTTTGAGAAACGTGTAGGAAGGGATAATGAGCAGAGTCAACTAAGGGAGGAGGGAGGGATGTCGCGAAGGGAAGGGCGAAGTCCACGCACATGTGTTTTCATTTTGTTATTTTCCACAACACTGATCACCCTTCATCTCCTCCTCATTAACGGTCTCCCTGCAGCAACGCCCTGCAGAACGAGTACAGGACCTGCTGGGTAAGGGCACCGGCTCATGATCTGTGGCTCAAGTCAAAAGCCACCCCTTTGCCCTGCAAATTTTCCATCCCCGTGCCTCTCTGCCAGAAGAACATTCTGGGCTGAGACGGGGCGGCAGCTGATGGGACCAGATTTGTTTCTGTTGCTGCGTCTCCTAGTCTGGGTGCTCGGCTCTGTCCCGCTCCCTCTGGTATCTGCACCACAGCTGGCGTTGAGGACAGCCAGCCGGCTAGGGGACTGAGCCCCGCAGCCCCAGCCCCCAGCTCAGCTCTGAGCCAACAAGCAGCTCATGACGGCAGCAGCGAATTATTTTTATTGTTAAAAAAAACCAAAACAGACACACACAGATTGCGTTTCTCCTTCTTTCCCATGATTTAAATGAGATGAATCAAACTTGTTACCCCAAATCTGAATGAAACACCGTGTAGCCTGACAAGTGCCACCTGGGTGATACAGATGCCCACAACACCACGAGTCCTCAACAACGGAGCACACCCTGGCCAAGTCCCCCTAGAGTCCCACGCCTGCGGAACTGACAGAGACAGAAGCGGTATTCAAGATCGTCTAATCCAAACTCCTCGCTGTGCTGAAGAGGAAGCAGAGCCCTGCGGAAGTTAAAGGACTTGCTGAAGATTAGATAGCCAATGAGTGGGAAGGGAAGGCTAGAACTCATATTTCTTATTTTAATTCCATACTCAAGTTCAACCAAAAAATAAAGATATACTGAATGTCTATTATAGGCAGGGACAGATAATCACCTGTTAGTCAGAAGCAACAGCTATAGGGAAGCTATTCTCTGGGAATGCACAGTGAGGTGGGGCTGGGGACAGGTGAAATGATGTGAGAAGGATCCTAACATTGCCTTTGTCCCCTCCACGTCCCCTCCCTGGTAGCTCTTTCTTAAGGTTTCAGTCCTCTGTGGACCCGCCAGATATCCCAGCCTCTTCCACAATGTAGACCACAGATCACACCAAGAGCACATGCTAAATGAGCCACGTGGACCCCGACAGTTTCTGGAAGTGGAAATTCCCTCAGCAGATTCTAGGGAGCTTAGCGGGGCCTGTCCCAAATCTGCCCCCTAGCGTTCCGAGATCAGTCACTGAAGTAGGGCATCTTTGAAGCATCTTGAACTTCCCAATACACTATGCTTTCTGGAAAACATCTAGGTTTGTCAGATAAAACACTAGACAGCCAGGTACATTTGAATTTCAACTTGAACTTTTAGTATAAGTATGAATTTAACTAGGTGTCTTGTCTTTTTATTCGCTAAATCTATTTTGCTATTGAAGTGCAGAGACTTAAAATGTGCACGAGAGAAGAAATAGTAAGAACATTAGAAGCATAATCGTGGGTTTTTAAGACATTCATCTGAAAGGTACCAACTAAAAATTGGGAAATGCTTTTCACATAACACATTAAAAAATCTAAGTTATAGAAAGAATTGACATGATAGAAAAAAATTCCAAAGTTTCTTGCACCATTACTTTATAGCATTATTTTAATTGTCTGAGTCCCTTAGTTAAGAACACAATTCCCTGCCCTCCCACCGCGACCTCCCTCGCAGCACCAGCTGGAAGCTATAACAAGCCAGTTGTTCTGAACTCTGTACAAATGAGAACGAATGAACTGGGGTTAATATTAAGCCAATTTCCTGCTACATCTGCCGTGGTCGTATTACCCAAGGTTGGGAGCAAGAAGACGTTCCAGCCGCGCTGGTGGCAGGCCAGCTGCCACTCACATCTCTGCTTGGCTCATCATATGGGTTCTTCGGGTTTTTCAAGAGCAGCTTCTGAGTCCTGTGATAAAGGCAAAATGTGAGACAATCTCAAAACAAATCAAAACTCTTGGCCCACTCAGTAATGGGTAGGAACAACTATTTTTGCTCCTGAAATTTAGGTACTTAAAATGTGCGGGAGAGAAGAAATATGAAGACCACTAGGACCATACCTGGAGGTGTTTAAGGCATTCTTTTCTCCAGAACTCAGAATACTTGCCAGATGATGTTTCACTATTTCTGGTTCTGTGTGGTGGGGTATGGGTGTGTGTGCGCGCGTGTGTGTGTGTGTGCGCGTGTGTGTGTGTGCATGTGTGTGTGTGTGTGTGTGTGTGTGTGTTGCGGGGGGAGCCCTGCATTCATGCACTCACAGGTACCTACTGGGTACTAACTATATCCCAGGCACCATCCGGGTACTGGGGACATAGCAATGGGAAAACAACAACAAACTTCCTACCTTAATAGACATACAAATTTAGAGGGGAGTGGAGGGGCTGTCTGCGGAAATAACACTCCAGCAACTCTGTGTGGCCGACTTTATCAGCTGTTTGCAAGCGCAGCAGTGGGGCTCGTGCAGGCAGTGATGTCCCCAAGGCACAGCCACTGAGGGCAGCGCAGGGACAGGGGCATCATGACGCAAAGCCTGGGCTCCCCCACTACCCACTGCAATCTCCCACCCCCAAGGAAGTAGAGGCAGAAACAGAAGGAGTGGAAGACCCGAGATAACATGTTCTCACACCTACTAAGCCAGGAAATAGACTAGGTCTCTTGCTTCCAAATCCAGTCTTTTACATAGAATATACTGTTTCGTTTGACAAACACTCAACATTAACTCTATGCAACGGACTGTGCCATGCACCGGAGGGAGGGGTTGTAGATTTAGCATTAAGGTAGGATCTCTGTCCTAAAGCAGTGCTCTGGAGGGAGAGACAGGCACATAACTCATGCACAGCAGCCAGCGGAGGGAAAGCAATGAAGGCTTGAGGACCATGTGGCAGCGAGGACCCCAGCCAGCCTCAAGATTCCAAAGCAGCGCTGCCGCCGTGGGGCAGGTGGGCAGCTTAACCGCCTCTGGTCATGCAACCATCTGCCAAACGCCCTGCCTGGACATTCGGAAAGAGCGATAAGGAACGGGCAGGTGCGGGGAAAGCTGCACGCCATGTGCTATGCCCACGACACAGGCCATGTGGGTTATTACAGGTTTGTTTTTTTTTTTTTGAGACAGAGTCTCACTTTGTTGCCCAGGCTAGAGTGAGTGCCGTGGCGTCAGCCTGGCTCACAGCAACCTCAAACTCCTGGGCTCAAGCGATCCTCCTGCCTCAGCCTCCCGAGGAGCTGGGACTACAGGCATGCGCCACTATGCCCGGCTATTTTTTCTATACATATTAGTTGGCCAATTAATTTCTTTCTATTTATAGTAGAGACGGGGTCTTGCTCTTGCTCAGGCTGCTTTCGAACGCCTGACCTCGAGCAATCCTCCCGCCTCGGCCTCCCAGAGTGCTAGGATTACAGACGTGAGCCACCGCGCCTGGCCTATTATCAGTTTCAATCAAAGGCTTCAACAACAACAACAAATTGTAGCAAGTGGCTAACAGAAACAGTTCCAAGGTTGCAGAGTTACACAGTTACAGTCTGTGATGGACTACTTGCTGCTGATTTTCTTACAAGGGGTGGGGATCCTTGCAAGAATTCAAGTTTTATGAAGTAATAATGTTAGGATACTTTTAAAATTTAGTTTTACAAACAATCATCTTTTGAGAGATGCAGAAGACAAATGGTGTCAAACACTCAATCTCTAGACCAGACAGGCAAGGAATGATATAGAGGGAGGAAATAACTGATTTTAACTCTTTTTTGAGACAGAGTCTCACTTTACTGCCCAGGCCAGAGTGAGTGCCGTGGCGTCAGTCTAGCTCACAGCAACCTCAAACTCCTGGCTCAAGCAATCCTCCTGCCTCAGCCTCCCAAGTAGCTGGGACTACAGGCATGCGCCACCATGCCTGCCTAATTTTTTGTATATATATATTAGTTGGCCAATTAATTTCTTTCTATTTATAGTAGAGACGGGGTCTCGCTCTTGCTCAGGCTGGTTTCGAACTCCTGACCTGGAGCAATCCGCCCGCCTCGGCCTCCCAGAGAGCTAGGATTATAGGCGTGAGCCACCGCGCCCGGCCTGATTTTAACTCTTTAAGGAAAAATGTTTCATACATCTGACTTAGAAACTCAATGCCAGGGCTATATTTGTCTGCATACTTGAGTGGCATGGCAATAGTTAGACTAGCAATTTTAATTTGATCTCGGCAGAACCAATCTGCCTATGGTACAAATGTAGCCACTCACACAGCTCATTCTTTACTTAGATTAACACAGTCAATTTCACAATAACCCTTGAGATACATACTATTTTGTCCCTATTTACAGCAAAGGAAATTAATGACTGCTGAGGCTAGGAGACATGGCTGATGTTATTCAGACACTAACTGCGACCTGAACCTGTGCAATCTAATTCCAGAACCCATGCTCTTAGCCACTACACTAGGATATAGCAGGATCTCAGACAAGTGCATCTTGGCTGATATGTTGAATTTTCCAGAATACAAGACAGTTGTCACTTGAGTGGTTGTGCAGTACCAGTAAATGTGGTTAAATTTTTATCTACAGACGGTGGCAAGTATTTTGTACATTCCTAGAGAATTGGGACCAGTGAAGTGGGTCTTAGATTCTTCAGCCATGAAATGATAAGAGTGAACTAGATAATTCCACAAAGTCCTCTTCAGCCCCCAAAATCTCATGACTCACTGATTTTGTACGGCATAAACCGTAACAGTACATAGAGTATTTTTCAATATTGGTGATAGTGAAGGATGCTGTCCTACTTTTTAAGAAACTGGAAAATGAGCAAACACTGTGTTGCCTGTACCTTCACCCTAATGTTGTAGTATTTTTAAAAAATTAAACATATAAATGTGATTGCTCTACAGCTTCCAACTGTTAACCTGAAATTATTGAAAACACAAAATCCAAAGAAAAGAAACTTCCTTCCAGGAAGATACTGATTTAAAAAAAAACACTAGCTAATATTTTATGGGAAATCAACTCAATGGAAGGCAGCCATGAAAAATTATTGTTACGCAGGCTATGGGGGGGGCGGGGACTGTGATGCTGAAAGAAGAAAGTGGAAAATGCGAAACATGCACCTGTGAGCTCACGACCACACACACTTCGTGCAGGTGTGTGGACAAAGACTGCAAGGGAACAAGGAGAAACACTGATGCTTTAGGGCAGTGACATCCTGGGCCCTTTTTTGTTTTAACTTTTATCCCATTTTTCAAATGTAGTAAGTGTGTAGAAGTTCATCTCTGGGGGCAGGTGTCCCGGGAGGGCTTAGAAAGAGGTCTGAAGTCCCACGGAAGGGGAGGTCACCTGTAGCAACGAGCCCCCCAGAGCCCCAGGAGGAGCAGCAGGACGAGCGCGCCCGCACAGGCGGCCACCGCGGCGACGCTCCGCTGCCCCAGGCCGGCGTGGCGCAGCTCCCACTTCAGGTCCCGGTGCTGGCATCGCTCCCCGACGAAGCCCACCACGCAGCTGCGACAACAAACAGAGGTCAGCGGAGACGCCCGCCAGGACGCGACGGCTGAGCCGCCTCTGCCCGCGGAGCTGGGCTCAGCCGGGGTCGCGGCGGGAGCCCGGGGCGGCTGGGAGCCCGGGGCGGCTGGGAGCCCGGGGCGGGCGGGCGGCTGGGAGCCCGGGGCGGCTGGGGCTGCGGGCGGCTGGGAGCCCGGGGCGGCTGGGAGCCCGGTCCGCCGGCCGGGACTGGGGCGTCGCTCGCTGCCTCTGCCGGGCGCCGCACAACGCCGACAGACATCAGCCTCTGCGGGGTAAAAGCCCGGGAGCCCCTCTAAAGCCAGCACCGAGCAGTTGTGGCCTGAGCAGCCAGGGGATCTCGGACGCCGCCGTCTGGCGGCCTGCGGCGAGCACGGCCGACGGGACAGGAACCCCAAGGCAGAGCCCGCGGACACCGGCCGTGAAAGAGGGTGTCCACACAGTCCCCGCGCGGGACACGCCTGGTCTGCGGGGGAAACTACTTCCCTTTCTAAAAAAGTTTTTTCATCACTTCTGGCCCCAGGGAAAAGGTCTCACTGGTGACACACATACAAATTTAGCCTATTTTCTTCAAGGGGGGGACCATATGGAGGAAAAAGGGACATTCACCACGAACACCCTGCTGTCTCACGACTGAAATTGTCACTGGAATTATCAGTGACCAATTTGCTTTTTAAAGTAAATGAAACAATGAAACCTTTTTAATGTAAGTGAAACAATGCTGCCATCTGCTGGGAATATGAGTTTCCAGAAACTATGGAAATTTCAGGTTTTATTTTATAATATTCTTCTTTGCAAAAGCATCAACTTGAAAAACATCCTTTCATCTATTTTATTTTTGACAGCATATTCTCATTTTTCAGATGAGGGAACTGAGAGGCTCAAGGAGTTAGTAGAAGGTGACACAGCTAATGAATGACAGGTTTGATTCAAATGATTCTCTGATTTCAAAGCCTATCTTCTTTCTACTATACTGTGCTGCTTCCAAAAGGGGTTTTATGCTCTATTTAACTCTGAAAGGCTATTTTTCTAGAACTGATCATGTAAGAGACAGCAGGATCTAAGTACAGAAGCATAAAGGACCACCACTATTCCAGGATTCCCTGCATACTGTTTGAATTCTAGCTATCTTTGGTAACAGCCATTTACTGTCAATACCTAGCAGCCACTTTTCACCTGTTGGATGTTGATGGGCCGCAACTCTGATCTGATCAGAGATTTGGGGGCCTTGAGGAATATGTCGGTCACATGGCCAAGAGTCCCGTAACTGGCCAAGTCAGGTTGTCATAGCAGAGCCTCTCTGAGCCTTGGGAGACCCAGAACAGTCAGCATTTTACAAAACCCAAAACACTAGTTCTTTGGGTTATTGTTAATAATTAGTTCTTCTGTTAAACTAAACAAAAGATTCCCCACTCAAAAAAGTTTGAGTTTCCATAGTCAAATAATTTCAAGACATCCTGGACTAAATAAAGGCAAATAAGCCTTTTTAATGTGTTGTGGTAGACCATGAATTAAGAATTGAGCACGACACATTTCTCAAAGTGCTTTGACTACACAACCTGTTTTTCAGAAATGATTCACAGCACTGATACTGGGGGTCTTGGGCTAAAGACTTGCCCAAAAGGATGTCTGGCTCGAAGCCAGGACAAAATGCATGAAGACCTCCTGAGAATCTCCAAACCAGGAAAACTTTTTATTATTATTATTTTCTTTATTTTTATTTTCAGAGAGGTTTCTCACCCTGTCACCTAGGTTGGAGTGCAGTGGCATCATCATAGCTCACTGCAACCTTGAAGTCTGAAACTCAGGTATCATCCTGCTCAGGCTCCTGAGTAGCTGGGACTACAGTGGTGCACCACCATGCCCGAATAATTTTTTTATTAATGGATAATTTTTTAAATTATTTGTAGAGATAGTCTCACTGTGTTGCTTAGGCTGGTCTTAAACTCTTGGCCTCAAGCACTCCTCCCAAAGTGCTAGGATTACAGGCGTGAGCCTCCACTTCTGGCTCCAAACCAGGAAACCCTGGAGGACTACCTTGGGCATGGGGACTTCCAGTTCTCACTTCCTCTGCATCCCTGGTGACAGCCTGGGGTTCCATGGACCTGAGGGAGCTTCCACTGCCTCCAAGCAAAGAAGGCAGAGCTGGCCCTTTAGAAGTCTGCTTGCAGTATGGAGAACACTCTGCACAGAATGGCGCCTGCCATGAAGTGTTGCTAATAAAAGCTGCACGGGTAATCGCTCCCTACAGACTTGTCATTATGGAATTAATAAAACATAAAGTGAGGTCATCAGGGCAGAAGGAGGAAAGGGTTGAATGCTTGATTAAATCACATTTTTATTAAATATGCAATTCAAAAACAAAGTTTATGATCCAGATGACTAAGAACTGTGATGATATTTTAAATATTGCTTTAGATTAAAGGTCCTTACATTTGAGTGTTATTCTTTGGTTTGTTATTTTGTAGCAACTCATGTTTAAAACATTATCAGGGAAATACGATATTTTCATCAGGATTTAATGAGAGAAAGAAAAGCAGTGTGCTAAAGAGTTCATCAATCATTTAATGAATTGGTGCTATCAGATCCAAATGAAAATATTGTACTAAATGCAATAAGTAACCCTGTACTGCCCTTTATATTATTATGATGATTTTTATAATCTAAAGTTAAAGTATCATGGAGGAAATCAACCATGACCTAATAAACTAGGACATTTGTTTTTGCAATTTCATTATTTGGGGTGGTTAGAAACAACAAACAGGCAAAAACAATTTGATTTTTAATATTAAAATCAAGGATAACTATTGTAAGTACTGGATTTATTTTAAGTTATAAAATTATAACATGTAAATATGAACATGAAAACAGAATTCTACTAGAACTAAGTCATTTTTACTAGTATTCATGAGCACTTTCCACTATTTTTGTTATGACATATTGATACTTTGCCAGGGAAGGTAGCCTATTCTTCTAGTAATGTAGCCTCTATTTCTGCTCATTATTACTGCTAAAATCATAAAAGCCTTTAATCACACAGTACCAATTTGTGAGGATCAGAATATCTCCCTCAGGTATAGAAAACATTATCGAGTTAGGAGTCTAACCCTGGAAGACCTATTTATTTTTTGCTATCAGTTTCCTCCTATTGCCTTGCAAATATGAAATTAATTGAAAGTAAAAGCTGATGCAGAATCAGCTTTTGTGAGTTTGTGTTTTGTGGAAGGCTCCTGGGAAGGGCTTTCCGAGTGGGCACAGTGGGAACAGCACAGCTTTGGGACTTCCTCAAATCTCCTTTCCACATTGACACTTCACCACTGTCAAACACTCATGGGGACAAGAAGGAGCACAGACCAGCAGCTCAAGCATTCAGCAACCATCCCCAAATGACAAAAATATAAAAATCAACTATTTTTATATTAGAAAAGTGAAGAAAAATATATATTTTGAAAAAAATCAAAAAAAGTTTTGAAAAAAATATTTTTGGACACTGGCAAGAAATCCTGTGAACACAGACATCACTTTGGTGGACCCAGAAACGCATCACGGATGCCCACACATAACCTACAGCATATCTGGCAGAAAATAAACCAACATTTTAAGGACGTCTCTCACAAATCTAAATTCTATTCTCCCAGGATGAGAAATTTAATTCCTAGACTAGACTAGTAGTAACATCAAATTATTGAAGTAAAAGGGAAAACCACCAATTCCTTAGATTTACAGTTGCCACTGGAGGCTGGGGGTGGGGCAGGCGCGATACACAAAGGGGGTGCAGTACGTGCACACACACAGTTTATATGTACATATTTATATTTTCCTAGAAAACAACTAATGGCAGAACGGCATCCTCAGTGTCAATGTGGCACATGAGCTGGAAGTTCTGCACTGCGCTAGCACAGCCCCGCGCCACCGAGAGACAGGCGACTCACTTGCACGCGTAGCTGTCCACCGCCTCAACGTACATGCACACGCCACCGTGCAGGCAGTACCCGTCGTGGGACGCGGGACACCCTGGGTAGCTATTTCTGACAGGAGGGTGGCCATCTTCCCTGAGGTCAGAGGGTGGAGTAGAGTCTAGAAGAATCCAAGACATTCCTTTTATTTTCTGAAGTGGTTAGGGTCTTTCAGGTATGAATATCAGGAACTAGTTTCTGTGAACAGTTTGTAATGTCTTCTAGTGACAGTCGAACGACCAGCAGCGACAACAGCTTCACTTTCCAAGGTGAACGTACCTTAGGCTCAGTGTTGTCTGATGGAAAGCGTGCTGGAGGCAGGGAAGAGAAGGGCCGACCCTAAACCACCACGTGAATTCAGAGTCTCTGACCTCACTACAAAAACAAATCTGTCATCGCTGGCTAACCACGTGACATGACAGCTAGCTTTAGGTCTCGTGGAGCAACTGGTATCTATCTCTTCGTGGCTTAAAAACTCCCCACCAGTATGCAGTCCGACGCCTGCAATATCCTGGGAGTCTCAGACACTTCCCCCACAGGATGCTTTCTTCTAAACTCTGTTAATATTTAACTTTCAGGCAGCCCTCAAAGACAAGATTGTAGGGACGGTGACAGGGAGGAAATATGAGCCTAACGGAAATATGACCCAAAGCAGTGACATCTCTTTTATTGAAAGGCTCACTGCTCCTCAAAAGGAAAATATCAGGGTGTGTAGCTGACTATATAAATATGAACAGTTTTTCAACATCTTTAAGAAGAGCAAATTATTGGAGAAAGATAATGTGTGTAAAAAAAGAGACTAGGTAAGCACAGAATTTTTCTCTCTTAGGAGGTTTTCCGCCTGCAGAGCTAAGAGGCAAACAGCTGACGGTGACAGGAATGGCCGACCTGGTTTCCAGGTGAGGCCAGCTCCCCTCTGGGGGCTGACGGGGGGATAATACTGCCATTACGGCGAGAAGGCTCAGGAAACAGGAGTTAACCACTATGAACTTTTCAAAAGAAAGAGAAGAGAGCCGAAGTTCTAATTCAGATAAAGAAATTCTGACTTTTTAACGTTTTAAAATCCTTGAGAGCGATTTAAAATGCTAAGTCCAGACATCCTCACTGACCTGCCTAGCCCTGCAAAATGTATCCAGCAGCCCCAGAAAGCAACTAAACACTTGTGTTCCCACCTTTATTAAATTGTGAGTAATAAAAAGCGATTTGTTCGAGATGCTGTTGAATGAAGAAAACTTGGACCATTTCAAATTCTCAAGCCAGCATCATTCCCGGCTGGAGAGCTGGCTTTCCTGACTGGTAGAACTGAGTGACTTTTTCTAGAATCTCTAACACAAAAACATGGGGGTGCAGAGTTTCCCTGAACCCTCCCCTTGGACGAGGACCGCCCACCCACCTACCGGGACAGGCCAGTCCGGGTGCGGACGGGAGGCCGGCGCACGTGCAGGTGTGGCCTCCCTCTGTGTTTGTGCAGGTGGCATTTTCTCCGCAGCCGTGCGTCCCCAGCTGGCACTCGTCCACGTCTGTGAGAAAAGTCAGAGTAGGGAAGAGAAAAGCGGGGTGCAGAGGAAGAGTGCGTTATTCAATTGGAAGGTCCAGCACTCTGGAAGGGGAGCATCTTCAGCTTCTGGCCAGGGGCATGTTCTCAGAGCCCGGCGCACGTTTAGGTTTAAGGAGACCATCATGAACGCAGGACAGAGAGATGCACTGGGTCCCTTGCTGCGTGCCCACGCGGGTGTTCTAAGCTGGAAGTTTCCTCCTACTTGGAAGGAAAGGAGACTTCCCACAGTTGGAGAGTGGTTAATCACCTTTAGGCAAACATTCAGAAGTTCAGACCCTAAAGATTCACACTTATCTTTTTCGAATAGGCACCCAGCATGGACATATGTGTTATATCAAATACAATGGTCTTGCTTTTTGGACATAAATATGAACTACCTAAATAAGTCATCCTTTCTTTCCCAACTACCCACCTTTTTCTTTCTCAGCTACTACCACCCTACCATTTGGGTTCCTTCCTCCTCTTGATTTTACATCACTGCCAGAGGAACAGCCTTACTGCGTTCCTGGATCTCATGTTTCTTCCACTCCAAACCTAAACACCACAGCCAGAGAATTCTCCCTGCCCTGCAATGAGGATAAATCTGTGGCTTCTGTTGCCCAGAGCTGTGCCATCCAATATGGCAGCCGTTGCCAAGTGGGTCTTGAGCACCTGAAACGAATCTAGTCCACACTGAGCTGTGCTACAAGCACAAAACACACACCAGATGTTAAAGACTTAATACCAAAATAAAAAAGAATATAAGGCCAGGCATGGTGGCTCACACCTATAATCCTAGTACTCTGGAAGGTCGAGGCAGATGGATCACTCAAGGTCAGGAGTTTGAAACCAGCCTGAGCAAGAGTGAGACCCCATTTCTACTAAAAAATAGAAAGAAATTAATTGGCTAAAATATATAGAAAAAGATTAGCCAGGCATAGTAGTGCATGCCTGTAGTCCCAGCTACTTGGAAAAAGAATATAAAAATCTCTATTTTTCTATTGATTATATATTAAAATGTTCACATTTTGGATATAGAATAAATCAAAATATATTATTAAATTAATTTCACCTCTCTTTTTTTTTTTTTTTCTTTTTTGTGACAGAGTCTCACTCTATTGCCTGGGCTAGAGTGAGTGCCGTGGTGTCAGCCTAGCTCACAGCAACCTCAAATGCCTGGGCTCAAGCAATCCTCCTGCCTCAGCCTCCCACGTAGCTGGGACTACAGGCATGCACCACCATGCCCGGCTAATTTTTTTCTATATATTTTAGTTGGCCAATTAATTTCTTTCTATTTTTAGTAGAGACAGGGTCTCGCTCTTGCTCAAACTGGTCCTGAACTCCTGACCTTGAGCGATCCTCCCACCTCGGCCTCCCAGAGAGCTAGGATTACAGGCGTGAGACACCCCGGCCCTTTTTTTTTGTAATGTGGTGACTAGAAAATTTAGGACAGCTCTGTCTTAGAGAAAAGTTAAAACCCCAATAAAACCTGATCCTCAGATTTTAGTCTTCCACAAATGTGACCCAACCTACCCGTTGCAGACTGAATCGTACCCTATCACATTCACATGCTGAAGCCCTAACTCACAATGTCACTGTGCTTGGGGTTAGGGTCTATCAGGAGGTAGCTAAGGTTAAATGGAGTCATAAGGGTAAGGCCCTAATCCAATAGGGTTTGTGTCCTTAAAAGAAGAGGAAGAGGCACCAGAGTGCGCACACCCTTGCTGTCCCCTCTTCCTGTCCTCCTCTCCCCGTCCCCTCGTCCTCGTCCCCACAGAGGAAAGGCTAGGTGCAAACACAAGGTCAAGGCGGCCATCTGCAAGGAAGAGAAACCAAACCAGCCAGCACCTCAGTCTGGGCCGCAGGCCCCCAGAGCTGTGAGAAAATGAATCTCTGTTGTCCAAGCCACCCAGCACCTGCGGTGTTCTGTGACAGCACACACCACCTGAGCAGCCTCCGTGTCTGATCTTCCCCCACACGCGGCCCGCACTTGGTGCTCAGCCAGGCTGCTCTCCACCCCCCAGATAAGACGAGCAAAAAGAACTTCTCTTCACCACTTTTCACAGCCATGCGGTCCTCTCCTTGCAAACGAGGACCGGCGTGGCCCCCACAGTTCCCCGAGCCGTGCCTCTGCACCCCTAGAGGGGCCGATGAAACACGCACCACACTGAGTTACCATCCCGACCGCAGGCGCCTGCGGACTCCGTGCCAACCAGGCAGGTGTACTGACTCTCTCTCTCTCTCTTTTTTTTTTTTTTAACAAACTTCCCACTATAATTGCAATAAACTAGCACCTTAAGGGAAAGAGCTTTTCCAAGAAGTAAAAACAAGATGTACACTTGACCAAGCGACACAACCACTCTGAGTAATAACGACGACACTTTTATATCGCACTTATGTGCCAGGCATGGTTCGAAGTATCATATCTACAAATACATGCAGGAAGAGAGGGGAAGAGGGAGGCAGAGAGGCAGAGGGAGAGAGACTGAGAGAGGACAGGAACAAGCTTCCACGAGGCCTGAGGACTCCGCGTCAACCAGGCAGGTAGGGTCATGCCACCCTGCGGCATGCTCGGTACTGGAAGAAGGTGATTTACTAACACAGTGAGAATCCAGAGTCTAACGAGTTTAAACACCCAAGAAAGGATACCTTCCTGTCTCTTCAAAGGAAATTAAATATGAAGTCTGTTTGTCAAAATTACCTATGAGTCTGCTTAATTGGAGCAGTGACATTTTCCTGACCGACAGCCAAGTATGTGCTCAAAAGAGCGTTGACGGGTGTCTGCGGCCTCCACGAAACTAATCTGATAAAGGTCTGATTTAAATCAACCAGATCCAGAAAACTGATAGTTATGATGGATATTTCATCTTTAACCTTAAATGTGGGCGAAGGCAGGATCATTTGAGTTTCTTCCTCACTAGGAAAGGATTTTAATGTTTTCAGAAGACGGAAAAGAAAATACTGAAAGGGAGCTCTTAAAGCCACGTACAACTTCAGATAACCACTTCTCTAGGCGTTGGGTGGCTTCAGGCGGGTCTTCACTTGCACGGTGGTGCTACTGACACCTGGGAGGACACGAGACGCCCGTGACTGGAGCTCTCCAACCAACTCGCCACACCCAGCCCTGGGCAGAGGATGGTGTTCCTGCAGGAGGTTCTCAGCATTCTTCGCTTGTATCCAAATGTCGCTGCCCTGACTTTCCAGCGACTGAACTTACCCAGACCCACCCGCCGAGGAGCCCTCCTGCAGACCGCGCCCAGCAGTCCCTGCCGGCAAACCCGTACTGGCTGTAGCATTCGCCACAATTCACTTGCCAGATTCAGAGGCAAAGAAACGCTGTCTGCCCCCCCTCCCCCCACAGCTCAAGGACTGGAGTATTGACACTGGTGTCCCTGAAACCCCAGAGACAGAACAAGGCGGGCAGCAGAGGAGGGGCTTGGAGCTGACCACCGCAGTCAGAGTGCAAGGGCACATGCTTGACTTTCACCAGGAACAGAAATAGGCCGGTTTGAACAGGCCGCACACGTGTGTCACCCCAATCACACCCTGTCTTCTCTCGGCCCACCACACCCGCAGTGCTTCCTGGCTTCCAAGGCCTGCCCACACCCTCCTTCCTGGGCGCGTGCACTCTTACCGAGACAGTGAAGCCCATCTCCTTGGTAGCCTTCCAAACACCTGCAGACGTAGCTGCCTTTAGTGTTGATGCACCTGGAGGCGGCGGGAGGGCACACCGGGACACCCAGCTCACACTCGTCTATATCTGTGGACAAAATCACGACTGGTGAAATATCTGGGCAATCCTGGTATAAACGGGAACAGCAGGACAGAAGCAGCAGCGTCTTGTGTGTGATCATGCAGCAATGTGCAGGCACTGTTTGCAAACGAAACGCAAACCCTGCATCTCGGATGCAAAGTTCACTCTGGAATCAGCTTTTATAGCATTCGCACCTGATTAGCTCAGTGTGTGCAAATAAGCCACTTTGTGCCTGACTGCAAGACCATAAGGACTGAGATCTTTCTTCCCAGTAATAATCGATAACTTATCATTTTGAGGCTATCGATAAAAAATAGGAACCTACCCATCACAATCTATTTATTTGACTAAACTTAGGACCTAAGCTTTGAGGAGTCAGGGGTGAGTTTTGTTTTTATTGGAATTAGTGAATTCATAAATTTGAATTGAATTCAAAGGCATGCTCCTGAAGCTAATTATAAATTCTTCCCCTTAATGTCAACTGCATATATTGTATAATCTTACTATAAATTCAATGTATTATGTTTATAAGTAAATATATTTATGTCTCATATTTCCTATGCAAGTCATCCGTATTTTAAGCTAACATGAAATAACTTATTCAAACCTGCTGATCATTACATAAGTCCTTCTAGAGGTTTTGAGTCCGTAAGAGCAGCCAGATGTTTCTGGTTCGCTACTGTCTAAATGTGTGGACTGGCCTTCGTCTTACCGGAGCACAGCTCTCCATCCCCGGCAAAGCCTTCCAGACAGCGACACGCGGCGCCCTCGCCCTCGGAGACGCACCAGGCATGCGCGCTGCACCCCGCGGGCGCGCACGCGTCTCGATCTGCAAACAGGGAGAACCGCGCGATTACTTCCAGGCCTTAGAGAAGAAAATGGATTCTAACGTTTTGGATTCCACAGAACAGTCCCGCACTCCCTTTCCCAAGTTCTGAGACAGGTCAACCTCCAAACAGAAATACTCTGCTGAACTATCAGCTGTATCTACATGAGAAGATCCATATGCCGTGTGTGTCTGTTTACATGCTCTTAATGAATTTTAAAGAACTACCTGGTATTCAAAGAGCCCTGTGTGAACTTACATATAATTTTTTAAAAGCATTTGCAAATTTGAACAATAAAGTTACTAGAAGCAAATAGATTCATATTTCAAAAGGTTTATTGCCTATTTGAAAATTCCCAACCATTTGACATACAAATGGAGCCAATCCTAGTCTTATCCCCCAAAGACTGATATGTACCTACTAGATCTGTGCACCAACACGGCAAGGAGATTCAATCATAACAAAATTTATTGTCAATTTACTAATATCATATATAACAGCATACGTTTGTCACAATGTGTATTTATTATTAAGATTTATGCAGTGACTTGCAAAGCTCGGGGCACTTTTTACAAAGTCATGAACCGTACAAGTTAATGCTGTAAATGGATTATTTCATTTCATACTCCATTGAAATGCAAATGCCCCAGGGAACAGAGTTTCATGTTGAGCCCTTGCTTTAACTACTTATGTATGTCATCATTCTCTAAATGCCAGCCCCGACACATTTTTTTTGGAGTTGAGGGAATCTGACATACCACAGTCAAATATAAACCCTCATCTGTCTATTCACTGGTAAGTTTGCTCATCTGAGTAAAGAAGAGATAAAAGAAGTTTTCCAAACTTGTCCATAAATTAAAGGTTAAATGATCTAAGCAGGATTCAGGTGCCATGTGAACGCAGACATTGGGTCATTGCATTTGACTTGCTCAGCTATTTGAGCGAGAAGATTCCTCTTGTGGGAACACATACCTTTCACGTTTGCTTGGTCACCTCCCATCACTCAGGACTCCCAGATAAGTTCAGACTAAGTCAATTATTCATCTGGTTCAGGACTTATGTGGAAGACTAGCTCTCAAATGAAAAATCTGCTCAGCGTGTAGAGTGGACAGTCTCCAATGACCCAAGACATTTAAAATCATTTGCAGAATTATCTTAAATTAGAATTGGATTCAGGGTTTATCTGGTAATTTGCAAACCCCCAGGGAGCTGTGCATACGGTAGAACAATGGTTATGCAGTTGTAGGAGGGATGGGCTGGAGCCAAGGTTCTTCCTGTTACAGACCAGCTCTGGAGGGAGCGCCCGTGCTCACATTCCTCCTCTCTAAAACGTGGGTGACAACTCCCCACAATGGTTGTAAGGACTAGAAGAAAAGGTGATTTTAAAAAAATCCTTTGATCAAGAATTTTAAAATATTACACATATTTAAATAAGGGGATAAAGAAGAAAGATACCATGACAATCTGAGTAAGAGCTACCTTATCACACTAGAAGAGATCCCAGCAGCAGGCCTTGTCAGTAAAATGAAGTTTTCAAGTTTTGGGCTTTTTTTTTTTTAGCTTTTATTTTATTTTATTTTTTTTAGCCACAGATGTTTTGTTAAAATAAAATGTTACTCAGTAATATAAATAAATAAAATGTTTCAAAATTAAAGGCAGTGACCTTGAGTACAGGAGTGGGGTTTGCAGAGCTGAGCTAAGCCCAGTTTGAAACCCCCTGGCCTCAGGAGTGAATATAACATAAAAGACTTAGGTTCCCTAAAGTGGTTACATACTGAAAAACTTATTTGGTATTTGGTGATAAATGTGCACAACAGAAGAAAAGAATTCTAATATTTGTTGTTCATGGACTGTCTGCCGCCGTCAAAGCAACCGACCTATATTTGCTTATCAATTACTATCAACTTTTCATGCTAATGAAGTCCAGCCAGATGGGCCACATACCGAGAATACTAGGTGTGGAGGAAGGCACACGAATCTGTTCTGCCCTGTTTTTCACCTTTGTTTCCAATTTATAGTTCTTAAAAGAATACTGAGTCCAAAGAGTCAACATGTGCAGCTCGTGTCCAGTCTAATACAGAGCCCTCCGTCTCAGGGTCGCCATTCGGGAGAGAAGAAGGGCCTGTCCAGGGTTGGCTTCATTAGCCTTCTGTAGATTTAGCCAACATTAAGTCAGAGAGAGAATCCAGAACTTTCTCATTGGTAGAATGGAAATTGTTGGAAGCAAAGCTGTATCGGAGAACCAGTCATTCGTACCTGACACCATGATCTCCACAACCAGCGTGTCCTGAACTTCCGTAATGTCGTCTTCCGACACTCTAGTCTTGGAGGTGTCTGGTGGTGTTACTTGGTTGCGTATATCAGCTACGCCACCTGGTGAAGGTCAACAGATGCAATTAATTTAGCTTTTCTGTTTCCAGGAAAGTTTGATTTAATTTATATTTATGGCTGTTCATTGGTTGTGAGTTCACTCATTCTTACAGTAAGAGGATTTAGGGAAACTGGTTTTGATGACTTAGAAAACCTCACCCCAATATCCCACAACTGCTCATTTTCACCCAGTGCACTTGAAGGCCTCAGGGGCAGGGAGCCGGAGGGGAAGAAAGGACTCTTTTAGGATTGGCAAAAATCAAGAGTAAAATACCAAAATCCTTATAAACATAATCAGCTCATAATCATAGCCCAGCATTAGGCAAGGACAAAAGAGTGAGATGCTCTCCCCAACTTGTCTCCCATACACCCTCCTCCTTTAGGCTGCTTTCCCACTTATTGTGGGAAAGCCTGACTCCACCTGCATTTTAAGGTATGAAAGGGCATAAACAGACCATGATTTAATACAGGTGTAAGATCCAGGCACCCTCCCCCTTCCACTCCCAGAACATGGGAGACATGGGTTCTCGAAGAGAGCAGTGCTCTAAACTGTATTCCACAGAGCCCTAGGCTCCCACTCCCCAGCACTATAGGTTGAAATTCTTTTTGAAATAATACTGTGATGTTATTTGCCTCTTTTCACTGTGTTCACATTCATAGCCTGACGGCAAAAGCAAAGGTGGGTACCACTGCTGGTGCCATAGCGGCTTGCTGTCACCAAGGCAGTGACAGCAAACTCTACCAGCAACTATGCTCTTCAACAACAACAACAAAAAATCAGTTTCACAAGAAGATCATGATAAAGCAATAAGAATTAATAATTTTTAAACTTCTCGCATTGACTACATGGTTTTTTAATAGGTAGTTTAATGAAATGGAAAATACACAGAAACGCGGTCAGTGCACATGAAGGTATCGTGGTTATCTGCGGGAGAAGCACTTCAGTGATTTTTGAATTGCGAGTTGAAACTTGCCTCTTCTTTCATGGAACATGATTTTTACTTGAAAAAATGACTGAAGAACTGTGCTATGGAGATGGGGTATTTGGCAGATATTTTCTCAAAAATGAAGTGAGCCTATTACTTCAAGGAGAACAACTGGCAGTATCTGTTGCCAAGGTCAGATTCCACAAGCAAGTAAGCTTTAGGAAACTACTGTCTGTCTAGGAGTTTCTGGCATAGTATCCAAAAAGCAATACCCAAAAAAGACAACTCAAAGGCTATTAAATAATTCTCCCTTTTCCATCCCTATGTATGTGTGAGGCCAGAGTTCCTGGGTTGTTTGGTTTTTTTCTTGCAGAAAAATAGATTCTCTTTATAGACTTTGACCAAAACAACACATGACAGATTTAAGATGCAAGTAGATATGACAACCCAGCTTCCCTCTACTAAGCCAGACATTAAAGATATAAATGTAAAACAATGCGACTCTGCCCACTACCTATTCTTTGCTTTGGAAAACTACTTATTTCAGTTATTTTTATTAAAAATTGTGTTATGTTAATAGATAATGGATTTGTCATAATTGTTGTTTATTTTTATTTGTTTATTTTTGAGACAAGGTCTCACTCTGTCACCCAGGCTGGAGTGCAGTGGCATGATCACAGCTCACTGTAACCTCCAACTCCTGGGTCCAAGTGATCTTCCCAGTTCAGCCTTCTAAGTAGCTGGGACTATAGGTTTAGGCCACTATGCCTGGCTAATTTTTTAATTTTTTGTAGAGTTGAGGTTTTACTATGTTACCCATGCTGGTCTTGAACTCCTGGCTTCAAGCAATCCTCCTGCATGAGTCACTGCACCCAGATATTACTATAATTTTAACAGACATTTTAAAAGTTTTGTTTTGGCCCAGCGTGGTGGCTCACGCCTGTAATCTTAGCACTCTGGGAGGCCAAGGCCAAGGTGGTTGGATCATTTGAGCTCAGGAGTTCGAGACCAGCCTGAGCAAGAGCGAGATCCCGTCTCTACTAAAAAAAATAAAAAGAAATTTATTGGCCAACTAAAAATATATATATAAAAAATTAGCCAGGCATGGTGGCGCATGCTTATAGTCCCAGCTACTTGGGAGGCTGAGGCAGGAGGATTGCTTGAGCTCAGGAGTTTGAGGTTGCTGTGAGCTAGGCTGACACCACGGCACTCACTCTAGCTGGGCAACAGAGTGAAACTCTGTCTCTAAATAAACAAATATTTTGTTTTTAAGTTTTAATATCACAAATATTAATAGGTATAAACCACATGAAAACTCTTTAGAGTTCTCAATAACTTATAAGACTATATAGGGGTCCTGAGACTAACATGCTTGGGAAACTATTGACCTAAGGTAACAATTAATTCTGAAAATTCAAAATATCCAATTCTGTCCATGCATAGATCGATCCATTTATTTGTTGTCTGTCACCTAACATATTATAGCATGCCTACCAGATAAGTATAAACTATAAAATAAAACATTTTAATAAAATTTAACTCATCTGTGGTATACTTTTGGTAGAAAGAAATCAGGAGATAAATCCATGCCTCAATTATTTGGGTACGCATTCAAGGGAGCAAATCAGGCCCACTGATTACACATGACCCTTGGCTCACTCTTCTTTTCTCTTCCTCAAAGTCATATTTAGTTTGTAAAAAAGTGGATCACAAGCCTTCCCCAAGTTGGATTTTTCAGAGTTGTTTGACATCCAAAAGTTATTTTTTACAAAGGACTTTACTTTCCAAATTAAGACTTTTCATGTTGTAAGGGATGAGATTGTATATAACTACCTCTAAAATTGAGAACATATCACTTCTAAAAAAAATATCTCCAAATATTTTTGTGACGTGATAAACTTCTGGCATTTATTTCTAAGCCTGGCCCCACCCCACCCAACTAAAGGTAATCTGTAATAAACTCATCAGAGGAAAACAAACTCTCAGCATTCCTAAAAACAGAGAAGCTTTGAATAATATAAAATATTAAAAATCAGCAAAAGCACAGGGATGGATATAAAGCTATTCCTGAGCCAAGGTCAGATAATTTGCTACATAACTTATCATATTACCTGCTGGTATCTGATGGCCGTTCAGAGCCAGACACATTTTCCCATCTGGGGCCTTCATAAAACCTTCACGGCATGAACACCAAGCAGTTCCAAACCTCGCTTCGCAAATCTGTTCGCAGCCTCCGTTCTGATGCAAGCAGGGATCTGCTCCTAGCAAAGAAAAAAGGCAGATTCACAGATAGGTTGCAGATGAAAAGGAAGCCACCAATGCAAATCACAGCCCACAACTTCTGGGGAGGGAAACTCACCGTATCTTAACAGAGGGTGTATCAAGAGCTATTTCAGAAGAGCCCCTGGTTCTAAGACAAACCCAGACTGTTATTACCTTACAAGCACTTATTGAGTCTGGGCAGTACTTTTGCTCAGCCGCAATTCCTATTGCCTGACTCACAATCTAATCAGACTGCCACAGGACAATCTGCGTACACCTGGCTGAGACTCACTCGCTGGCACTCTTGGGGATGGCGTATCTAAATTGCCTGCCCTTAGTGCCTGTAACCTAAATGTCTTTGAAATGTGGCAGGTAAGTAAAAACTGTTCAGGAAAAGAAGAGATGAAATTGGTGGGAGAAAACCCAAATTACCAAATTGGCATAGAGCCTAAGTTACCAAACTACCAGATTGTCTTAGTTTAAACAAAGTCCTTATCTTACAAAAGCTTAACATCTACACAGATTAGGGAAAACAGCAAATTCCCCCTGCGCCCCCCCCCCAGCCTGCCAGTAAAAAAATTAAAAAGGTCACAGATCCCAGCCAAGGAAAGACTGTGTAACACCTCCAGCGTACCTGGTTTTGCCAGTGGATGAACCACAACCAGTGATGAGGGCTTCAGCATGCTGCCGTGGAGACGTACCCTGTTTTGGCCAGTCCTCTTGTTCAACCTTATTACCGATGGCATGGCCCAATCCGAGAACCACACATGATCTCCGAACACAGCTATGGCAAATGGGTGACCTGAAAACAACTCAAAGCCATTAATACACCTTCATGGTCTTTGTGACTATTCACAAAAGAACAAGGCTTGAAACTTACACGCTGCACTACACTACGTCAATTCTTTACTACAGCGGCTCAGCAGGGTACACGCCATTGACCTACGCTCGCCTCGAGGAGAGCCCACGTGATGAGGGAACCGAGTTCTGGAATGGGGGCCTGGTGGTATGAGGTCAGGGCAAAGCCCATCATCACCCAGCATGTGGAGAGTAGGAGAATGTGAGCAGACGGTGGCACTAGAAGAGGACAAGGTGGGAGATTTCTGGGCTCACTACATCTGTCACTATTTATAGACTAAAACTGAGTAAGTTATTTTACTGCTTTTAGACTTAGGCTCCTTGTCTTTGGAATGGCAGTAATCAACAGTAGACCAAATGCACAGGCTGTTGTAGGATTTTTTTTTTTTTTTTTGAAATTTGGGGTCATTGAATAAGTCTCCCAAATTCCGATCATCACCAGCTCATGTCTCTGCATTAGTCCCTACCTCCTTTCCTCTCTCTCTGCTTATTTAATATTCGCCCATGGACCTGTGTCCCTGGTGGCACCTTTCTCTTCTTCTCCAGGACCTGGACCGGAAACAGTCACCCACTTCTCCCACTCCTTCCCTCTGCATTCTGCCCCCAGGCTGTCCCCATCCTCTCTCCCATCTCCATTTCTTCACTACCTTAACACTCTAGCTTCTCTGTGTCTCTTTCCTTCCCTTTTTAGTGAAGTTTTTTGAAAAAGAGTCATTTATTATCTGCTGCCTCCATTTTCATGGCTCCTACTGAGCCCACCTCAACCAAACCCACCTCTTCACGCCACTTGAACTGCTCTGATGAGGTATTAAATATTTATGATAATAAACAAGGAAATGTCTTAATATGCTATATTCTCAAGAGGTTCAAGACTAAAGCTAAGGAGGCCCAAGTTTGGAAGCTTCCACCATGTCCGCTCATGCTCCCACAAGCCAATCTGTTTGCAAATGAGCAATGGATGTGGCCGGGCGTGGTGGCTCATGCCTGTAATCCTAGCACTCTGGGAGGCCGAGGCGGGCGGATTGCTCCAGGTCAGGAGTTCGAAACCAGCCTGAGCAAGAGTGAGACCCCGTCTCTACTATAAATAGAAAGAAATTAATTGGCCAACTAATATATATAGAAAAAATTAGCCGGGCATGGTGGCGCATGCCTGTAGTCCCAGCTACTCGGGAGGCTGAGGCAGAAGGATCACTTGAGTCCAGGAGTTTGAGGTTGCTGTGAGCTAGGCTGACGGCATGACACTCACTCTAGCCTGAGCAACAAAGCCAGACTCTGTCTCAAAAAAAAAAATGAGCAATGGATGTGATGGATTAGAATGAGTATCGCCCCCTACTGGCACACACTCAAATGACCTGTCCTGGTGACAAATCTCCACACATCATTACTGACCAGGGTTATTAAGATTCATTTCAGTCTCTAGCCTTCTGTCCAAAATTAAAGGCATAAATACAGCAACGGAATTTTTTGCATAGCTAAAGTTCTTTTTATTGTGGTGGGAAAAAAAGCATAACACGAAATTTATCATCTTAACCATTTCTAAGTGTATGGTTAAGTAGTGGTAAATACATTTATCCAGTGTCATGCAACCAACCTCCAGAACATTTCGTCTTGCAAAATTGAAACTCTGAACTCATTAAACAATTTCCCATTTCCTCCTCCCCTCAACCTCTGGCAACTACCATTCTGCTTTCTTTTCCTATGACTCTGACTATTTTAGATACCTCAAGTAAGTGGAATTGTACAGGACTTGTCTTTTTTGACAGGCTTGTTTCGTTTGGCATAATGTTCTAAAGGGTTCATCCATGTTGGAGCACATGTGAGAATTACCTACAGTGTTTTAGCACACAAATGTCTGACACTAGACATAATCTTCCTTATTTCTTGTTTATAGAAGAGCCACAATTAATTGCATCTTGAATTAAGAATTCCTTCAGTCTTTTTAATATATATATTTAAACTGACAGATAACATTATGTGTCTTTGTCATGTACAACATGATGTTTTGAAGTATACATACATTGTGGAATGGTTAAATCTAGTCAATCAACAAATGCATTACCTCACACTTATCATTTCTGGGTGATAGCACATAGCATCCACTCTCTCTTTACCTTAAAAATCCTGAACTGGCAGAGAAGCCACCACAGATATACCAGCAGGTGGCACTGTAATGATGGGAATGGTTATTTAGATAATTTACTATAAAATGATTTGATCATGGCCTTCAATAGGAAGTTGCATTAGTCATAGATTATAGTAGCAATACAAATTATTCACAAAATATCTGCTATGCTTTTTGGTTTAGAATATGGTATTTTCCATTCTGGTTAAGACTTTCCCAATCCCTTTCTACCCTCTTATGTCAAAGCTACAATTTTACATTTATTTGGGTGATGTATTTTTTTTCATAATGTGTGACTCCCCCACTGGACTCTCTAACTTCACAGAAATCACATTTGTTTACTCTATACTGCATTTCCATTTAGTGCATGAATGGATATGCTTATCATTTATTGTGAAGTGTATCTTTCATTTTTACAGAATCATAGAAATATATAAATTTTAAAATTATACTTATCTTAATCTATTCTATGTACAATAGAAATTTAGAGATTCATTACCTCTAAAACCAAACAGAAAAGGCAAAACAAATGTCTTATACAGACCATTCGTTTGGTAGCTTCTTCCTAAGCAAGAGAGACCACATTTTTTCATCTTCCTAACCAGTTTCTAAATCTCCAGTCCATCTTCAACACTCCCTTAGTTCTCATTTCTATGTCCAATCTGTTACCAAATCCTCTCAATTTATCATCCACAATGATTTTCAATACCCTAATCCTCCATTCCACTTTTAAATGACAATGTTCTATCTCAAGCCTTCATTAACTGTTGCTTGGACAACCACCGTATAGCTTCCTAACAGATTTCCTTCTCTCCAAATTCCAAGCCAACCTTTACAGATTGCCTAACTGGCTTTCCTGAGATACCAATCTTATCAAACATGTTTGAAGCTCAAGAACATTCAATGGCTCCCTGCTAAATTCAGAATTAAGTCCAGACAACATACCCTGGCAGTACTAACATGTAAAGACCAATTTTTGTAGCCTTATAACTTTTCATCACCACCTATTTATCACATGGCCCAGTTCAAATACTGTCTTTGCAGATTTCCCGAGTCAAAATGAATTACGCAATGCTTATTATAGTCATATGTACTTCTAACAGCATAGGCTACAATGTTTTAAAGATAGTTATGAAAACACATAACCACCCATGCAAAATCTGAAAATACAATAGGGAAAAACAATTATAAAACAATTGTTTTAATTGTTAAAAACAATTAATAAATAACATTTATTAATCTTTTCACATGTTATCAATTGAGATTCCTTAATGCCTAAAAGTGATGTTCTCACTGCTGTGAAAGACATTTTCTAGAACATAAGAAATGAGAATAGCTAACCAAGTTCTTATTCCTAAAGAAATTTAGAAAATTTTAATATTTTCATTCTCATTTTAGAAAATCTTGAAAAAGAGAAATGATTATACAACAGTTTTTTACCCAATATTCCAATAGTAATCCTTTTTGCTCATGATTCCATGGAGAAGTCTGTCTGTCTCTATTCCTTTTTCACTATATGGTTAAGGGTGTGTGTGTGTGTGTGTGTGTTGTGTGTTTAAATACAATTAGTATTTAACATTCATCAGTGCTCAGTCAAAATGAAGAAATCGCCCTGCCCAAAGCCTCACCTACATCGTTCTGGGCAAGTTTGTGGCGCTCTGAACCATCCAGATTGGCCATTTCAATCACAGACTGCTTGGCATCGCACCAGTACAACTTGTCAGTTAAGAAGTCGATCGTTATTCCACTGGGCTCCAGCAGATAAGAGCTGGCTATGATCACTCGGCCAAAGCCTTGAAGGGAAGAACTTTCAATTCGTGGATTAATCCCCATATCAGTCCAGAATAATCTCCTTTAATCAAGAAAGCACACAACAAATAATACCTGCATGAAAAGATTCTTCCATCCTTTCATCATTGAAAACATCAATATAAACCACTGCAGGATATACTAAAGTGTATACTAAAGTATACCCTAAGGAATACAGAAGGAGAAAATAGAGCACTGTATATTGGACAAATAATTTTCAAAAGCAGAACAATCATCTTGTCTATATGTAAAGCAGCTTGGACAATAAATGCTGAATTAAGGCTCAGATCATTAGATAAAAAAGAAATTAGTTTTAAAAATTGGGCTGGAGCCAGGTGCAGTGGCTCATACCTGTAATCCTAGCACTCTGGGAGGCCGAGGCAGGAGGATCACTCAAGGTCAGGAGTTCGAAACCAGCCTGAGCAAGAGCAAGACCCCATCTCTACTAAAAATAGAAATAAATTAATTGGCCAACTAAAAAATATATACATAAAGAATTAGCCAGGCATGGTGGCGCATGCCTGTAGTCCCAGCTACTCAGGAGGCTGAGGCAGGAGGATTGCTTGAGCCCAGGAGTCTGAGGTTGCTGTGAGCTAAGCTGACGCCACGGCACTCTAGCCCCGGCAACAGAGTGAGACTCTGTCTCAATCAATCAATCAATCAATATTGCAGAATATGACTAATTGAAAGTGTGATACATGAACATTGTTTTGTTTCGTTTTGATTTTTTGAGACAGGGTCTAACTCTATTGCCCAGGTGAGAGTACAGCGGCATCATTGTAGCTCACAGCAACCTTAAAGTCCTGGGCTCAAGCAATCCTTCTGCCTCAGCCTCCCCAGTAGCTCAGACTACAGGCGTGTGACACTATGCCCAGCTTATTTTTTTAATAGAAGTGGAGTTTGTATATGCTGCCCAGGTTGGTCTTGGACTCCTGGCCTCAAGCAGTCCTCCCACTTCAGCCTCCCAAAGTGCTAGGACTGTAGGAGTAAGCCATCTCACCTGGCCAAAGAGAAAGCTGAATATTCTTAAATTAGTGTTTGTGCTTCAAAATGCAATAGAATCCTAGCCCATTCTTGTTAGCATACGTAAAACTACATGTGTAAAACTACAATGTAAAGGGAAGAGGATAGTTTTCTCTTATCCGGTTTTATACAATATACTCCATTAATTCAGTTAATTTTAAGTCCCTTAAAATCAGGTGCTTGGGCATATTTTTTTTGAAGTCAATATGTCTCAATATTTTTTACTGGTCTGTTTAGAGATAGTTACGTCACTTGGGTGGCTCCAAACCAATTATCAGTCACTGCCAATATATTATCTCCCACAGGCCAGCGTGAAATTTCCATTGTGAATAAAATAGTCTTGGTTTTTGTCTTGGCTTTCTAACAAGTAGGAAGAATCCTTTATTTTCCTTAATTATAACCTTTAACCCAGGTCATTAATTCACAATTAATGGGACAGACTTTTAATCTTTCATAGTTTCTATTTTCTCTTGTCCAAAATCTAGGAATAACCTGTCACTTAAAGTCATCTTAGGATTTTTCTAAATAGAATTCATAAGTCATACAATCCAAATATCCTTTCCTCCTCAAAAAACAACAATGAAGATTTTTAAAGAAAGTAGATTTATGGATTTAATTCTAATCAGTTAATGAATTACAGCCCATTACTTTTTTCAAAAAAATTTAATTTGCTTAAAATAAAAGGACATATTAACAATAAAAGAAAATCAAAGGACATTAAAAAGAAGAGGAATTCATGCTAGCCATGTCGTTTCTGAAGATTTGAACAAATCTCATGGATTCTCTTGGTTTCTGATTCCACTGAACACCTGAAGTCTTAAGACAGATTTGGACACTAGCACATCGGGCAGGAACTGTCACGTGGCCTCTGCCAAAAGGTGCCTTATCTTCACAAATACCTACTTGACCACCGGATGAACAGCAACTCCTCGAGGCTGAGAGATGTTCTCCTTAATGATTATTTCTCGATGTTTTCCATTTAAATCACTCCCTTCAATGAGAGATTTCCTAAAATGTATGTAATATAAAGAGGTTTGTCATAGCAACTTTACTTTTTAAGCAAAAATATTCCTTTTATTCCTTTTCCCTGTTCCTGGAATACAAAGACAGGCTTTCCAAACCACCTCCCCCTGTGCGTTCACACGCACGCGGATACAGTATTACAGCACCAACAAGCACACACATTTAATTTTTTAAAATGCAATCTTTTAATTAGCATCCCAATATTTATCCCAGGCAATTAAAATACACAGCGACAGGATAAGGTAAGAAGAGACAGTGTCAGGAGCCTGGCAGGTACATTCTCTTCACAACCTCCCACCTCCTGCTTGAAGCTGGAGGCAGGGGAGGTATCAGCTTTGGGCTCGGATCATGGGGAGGAGGGAGACACACTCGCACAAGGACAGCACGTAGAAATGTATGCTAGCTTCAAGTTTCTTCCATATGATTCTCCGGCAAGAGAGTACAGTTGCCCTGGGTATCTGTGGAAAACTCGTTCCAGAACACCCTATGACACCAAAATCTGCCGAGGCCCAAGTCCCTCATGTAAAACATTGTAGCATTTGCATATGACTGGTGCATGTCCCCCCATATACTTTAGATCATCTGTAGATTACTTATAATACCTAATACAATGTAAATGCCATGCAGATAGTGGTTTTACTGCATTATTTCTTATTTATCTTATTTTTAATTTTTTTAATATTTTCAATTTGAGGTTGGTTGAATCCAAGGATGCAGAACTTGCAGATACAGAGGGCTGATTGTACTGAAATATTATTTGCTAATCTTTACTCTTTTTTTTTCTGAGATAGGGTCTTGCTCGGTTGCCCAGGCTAGAGTGCAGTGGTGCCATCATAGCTCACTGCAACCTTGAACTCCTGGGCTCAAGTGATCCTCCTGCCTTGCCTCCCAAGTAGCAGGGACTACAGGTGTGCCATCATGCCCGGCTAATTTTTTTAATTTTTTTTTTTTAGAGACCTGGTCTCATTAGGTTGCCTAGGCTGGTCTCAAAGCTCTGGCCTCAAGGGATCCTCCCACCTTGGCCTCCCAGAGTGCTAAGATTACAGGCGGGAGCCACCATGTACAGCCTAATCTCTCTTTTTTTTTTTATCCCCAGCAACACTAGCCTGAGAATGGCCTAATCTTTACATTTAAAAAAATATCCCTTTGAAATCTGGCCAAAATTCTTATAAAAATAAGAAAATTCTTATTTCCTAATTTTTCTATTTGTTTGTCAAATATTTACCTACTGCTGCTGGAGATTGATGTAAGCAATGGAACACAACAGGAAACAAAAACGCTCTCCTCCCTGTCATCATAGAGCTCAAAGTTCAACTGGAAGGAGGGGGAAGAGGGAGGGGAGAAGGGAGGCAGGTGGGAACAGGGGGAGGGTGGGGAGGAGGGGAGGGAGGGAGGGGATCACAACACAGCAGGGAAGGGAAGTGCTAAGGACAAGGCTGCAAAGAATAACTGGGGGGAGGGGAGCGGGTGGCAGCCCCACCCAGCAGGGGTCAGAGAAGGGTTCCTGGGACAATAATATGAACCCAGATGAGAAGGTGGTGGCCAGGCCAGGTGGGGGGCAGGGGCAGGAGCACCCCAAGCAGAGGAAAGCGCGTGTACAAAATCCTAATGTCCCGAGACCTAAAGAATATGGGACAGCCGTCATCTCACTTGGGAAAGTTTGCTGTGGCTCACATGTGGAGAGGGCAGGCGGGCAAGAGATGACAGTGCTGAGAGGGAGGGTAGCAGTGGGCATCGAGAAAACTGATGGATTCAAACACTAAATGTGGCTCTGTGACACCACCGGGCTTCAGAGCAGCTTCCTGGGCAGGCAGGACACGGGCACCAGTAGGGCTGAGATCCTCCCTTCCCCCACACAGCGCCCAAGTGCAAACTAGAAAATATAACCATCTTTAATTCATTCAACAAACATCTGCTAAGGGCCCGCCTTGCTCTGGTGGGCAATGTCTATCTGAACTGGCCTGCCCAGGAACAGAGCAGGACCATCCTCGGCTCCCATCAGGCAGAGTGCTAAGGAGACCTCCAGGGGCCTCCTCAAGTCTACTTTGCAGCCACCAGGTAGGGACGGGGCTTTCACACGCACCCTCGGGCTACACGCAGGACAAGCGCAAAGGCAGAGGCGGCTGGGAGCCTGTGCTGGGGCAGGGCGGCGGTGCGAATGAGGCCGTGGATAAGCTGAAACCTTTTCTACTGCAGCGCCGCTTCTAAACGATGGTCTTGCCGGCAGCTGCAGTGGTGGTAGGAAGCGTGCTGCTGGGTGGGAGATGTTTTTGAACTCAATGTGCCAAATTCTGTCCCCACCCAGACACAACTGCCACCGAGCCTCTTGGTGGGAGGGAAGGAACTCTGAGGCCACTTGCTTGTGACCAGGGGAGAGAGAACTGTCACTTCCAATCTCATTGTTGCATCAACTCTAAATTCTGACTGTTTGGAGCAGGAGTTGGGTGGTGAGAAGGGAGACCCACGTCAGCTCCCGACTGCAGAGCGGTCTCCAGGCAGGATGGCTGGGATTCACTTTCAAAGCTGCCCAAGGTGTCCACCTAATTAACTCTGCTCCTCTGAGTCAGCCAGAAAGCGACTCTCAAACCCCAGTGCCGCAGTGAGATCGCAGGGATGGCTGCGTTTGCGGGCTCCTCCAAAAGGAAAACCCACGCCACTACCGGCATCAGACTTATCCACCAAGACCCTAGAAGAGTTATTTTTACCTTATAGTAGTTTTTGTTACCTCAAAAGAATAAGTAAGCAGATATCTTATAATATACTTTTACTCTCTTGATTTTTTTTTTTTTTGGCTAGGCAATTGACTTTAGCAATCAGGATTCTGTAACACTAACTAATAGCTGTGGAATTATCAATTAGCTTCCTTCGAACAGTTAGATGTTAACTCAAACCTGCCTTTCCCAGGCCAGTGTGGACTGTTAAGCATCCACCCCATTTTGGCTCTTTGAATTAGCGAAGCGTCACTTCGCAGCCTAATATCAAGAGATTAGAATCTCCCGTTGTTTAAGTCCAATTTCTAGGTAATACTGAGGTTTTAAAACTCCAAACCTTCCAGACAAATGAAGGGTTTTCCTTTTAGCAGCCGCCTCAGAGGGGAGAAGACAGGAAGGGCTTGTCATCGCTCAAGTCAAGGAACTAGAGGCTCTGGGCTCTGACTCTGCGGGGAGGCAGGTCCTTACTCTCCTGAAGGTGTCACCTCCGCGGCAGGTGCCGCGTGCTCTTAAGCAAGCTGTGTCACCGTCAGCCGTGTCGTGTGAACGTGGGAACATGACAAGACCCGGCGACCGACGGCTGAGGGCCGGAGAGCGCAGAGCAGCCAACACCTGCTGCGCCAGCGACGCTTTCACTCTCGAGAGCAGCCGCGGACGGCTCTGCTGTGACGCGCAGCTGACGTTTAAAATACTCTTTCACGTCAGCTCAAACAGAGGAGGCCGTTGTTATGAGTTTTATAAGTGCTACCACGAAGTCGGTTTTCATTTGTCCCACGTCTGGGGCAAGCAGGAGCTAAATCCACTCTGGCCGGGAGGCAGAGTCTGCCCGAGAATCTCAGGGACAGAAGCTTTGGAAAGGTCGCGCCCCAGTTCCAACTCCAGACCTTAGGAGAGTTATATCACCTCTGTGATGATCATTTTGTAAATCTTTACACCAGAGATAGGAAAACTTACTGTTTGGGGATTTAATGGTGTCATGAGTCTAAAGCCCTTAGCACAGTGCCTGGGCCCTGCAGTCATTCCGTAAACACACACCCAAATAATAAAGAGGTGACGGTAGGGTTAGACGAACAAATCAATGAATGAAAGAGTGAACTCGAGACAGCACGCTCACCGTGGACACAGAGGGCCATCTTACTGATAAGTGCACATCCTAACGCTCGCCAGGCTCACTGTGGAAAACCTGCTTGTTTCCCACGGGTTTTGCAGATTCAAAGAGATCTTGGGGTGTAAAAGCCCCCAGCTCGCAAACCCAGTCCCGGCACTTCTCCCTCTGTGCCGGAGCTGCTCTCCGGAGGCAGTCATTCCCCCCTCTCGCTGAGCCGGCTCGCGGGGACTGGATGTGCAGGACGGCCACCATTCCCCTTTTGGGCTTTCAGCTGCTCTGAGACAAGGCCCTGCACCCGTGGTGCTGTCCCGAGAGGGACCGTGGGCAGTGTCGCCTCCGGCAGTGCTGGGGCAGAAGGCCGGCTCTCCCTGGCACACATTAGGGATCCGCCTCGTCTGTCCTCCTCCCTCTTGCCCTATCCGCCACCCCACCCCTACCCCCTTCTGTTCTGGGGTTCAGCCCTAAGGGCAGGTGGAACCTGCTCGGGCTCTGCAGCTTCCCACCAACTGGAAAGTTCTTCCACCGCACACACTCTCCTGTCTCCCTCGCGCTTGCTTAACAGAGAGCTAGTGCCGGGATTCTAGTCCCAGACATGTCCCTCGCATGCTGTGTAATCTTGAATAACACACCTAACCTCTCTGCACCTTACATTTCTCACTCATAAGGGGAGGGTTTGGGGCTGGGCTAGCTGATCCCTGCCCCTTGGGGAGTATATACCCTCCATGTAGCATTTATTTATGTGTGGCCTTATAATATTTTTTGTACTGATATTTACACCAAGCATAGGTATTAAGTTTTTGCTGGAGAAATGGGCCTCATCTCCCCAGCTAAGGCAAGCCCATCTCCCACGCGACCTGGGTGAGGGCCTCATATCCACGGCGGGTGCTCTTCAGGCAGGCTTGGGGTTCTCTGTTAACAGCAACCTCAACTACAAAAACACATGCTACTTTCTTCATTCTCAAAGCCCTCCCACGGATATACATCCAACCGTGATGAAAGGAGCAGTGCCCTGCTTGGGGCGGGGAGGGCATGGGGGAGAGGGGACATAGGGACAGCAGTGGGGGCCTCTTTCCCCCAATCCCAGCCAAGTGCCAGCAATATTTATCTGTGTTCAAAGTGGAGGATGAAGCCGGCACTATTACCTATCCCCTCACTCCCATCCCACGCAGCTCCGCACTAAAGCAGGAAACATACCCTCTGTCTGTCCAGTAGAGCCTGCGGCCGATTCAGTCCACGGCAAGACCTTCTGGAACACCTACCGCTTCCTCAATGAGCCTCTCTCGCTGGGAACCATCCAGATTAGCCCTCTCTATCCACTTCAGGGCTGTATGGGCAAAGTACATCTACAGAAGAGAACAGGCATTTCTGACTTGTTTCAAAAGACTAATGTGGAATATTCACAAATGGGGCTAGCAAACCTTTAGGCTGCAAAGTGTCATCGTAGAGTCTGGCTTTGGAGATAACGACACCTACAACTACTCTCCAACTATGTTGCTTCCCACATATGTGGAACCTTAAACAAGTTACTTAATGTCTTAGAATATGTTTCCTCAGTGGTAAATGGAGATAAAAAGACAAGCTCAGTCGGTTACATGATATGCATACATAAATCTTTAGCCCTGTCTGTTAATTTATCAATCTCTGATCATTGGTCAGTGTGCCATTGTGCATGAACCTTAGTGGCTTCTGAAAGGGAGCAATGATTTGCAGTTTAATGAAGGCGACAAGCTGGGCTGCATCTTCTACTGCTCGGTCCAAAGCACTCCATTTCACTACAAGTCAGGAGGCATGGGTCCCTCTCCCAGTTTTGCCACTTATTTGCTAAATTGCCTTGACTGAATTGTTTAACCTCAGTTCTCTCAACTGTAAACATGAGGAAGTTATACTAGATATTTGCTAAGGTTCCTTTCATCTCTAACCTTATATAGTCACGTGCCGTATGAGGCTTCCTGACCTTCAGTTGATGGAGTGCATATTCAATACCGGTCCCAGAAAACTGTAACAGCTGAAAAACCCCTATTGCCTAGTGACACCACAGTCTTCATAACATCATAGCACTATAACTTTTTTAAAAAATGAATTTAGTGTCGTCTAAGTGTACAGTGTTTATAAAGCCTCCAGCAGTGTACAGTAAGGTGCGAGGACGTCACACTCACTCACCACTCACTCGCCCACCCAGACCAACTTCCAGTCCTGCAAGCTCCATTCATGGTAAGTGCCATAAACAGGTATACATGTATACATTTTTTAAAAAATCTTTTATACTGTATTTTTACTATTGCTTTTCTCTGTTTAGCTACACAAATACTCAACATTGTGTTACAACTGCCAATAATACTCGATACAGTAACGTGCTGTACAGGTTTGTAGCCTAGGAGCAACAGGCTACACCTTATAGCCTAGGTGTGTAGTAGGCTAGACCACCTAGGCTTGTGTAAGTGCACTCTATGATGTTCACATAATGATGAAATTGCCCAATACACTACTATCAATGCATGACTACAATTTCACTTTAATGCATCCATGTTGTTTAACAGAGCATACCTTGCAGGCATAAAGTTCTTTTTCAGTCTAGTATGCAGCCTATCAAAGAGGTACAAGAATTTCATGAGAGTTGAAAAATGCTATGGTTCAGCTGACAATTTAATGATAGCATTGCTGAATTTCAACTCTGAGTACATATATGTACCTACGCCTAGAATCAATCAGTATTCAAAAAGTGGTTAAGTCATTAAATAATGGGTTATTCATTCCTCTTTCTAGATAGAACAGAAAAGATTATCTTTCATAAATACAGATATTGGTACTTATATTTATTTATTTATTTATTTTTTTTTTTGCTATAAGACTGAGTAGGTATGGTACTTATATTTAAAAATGCTCCACTGTGGCTGTGCTTCTCAAGCTCTAATGTGCATGTGAACCACCTGAATCTTGTGAAGCTACAGACTCGGGGGCGGTGGTCAGGGGTGCAGCCCGAGAGCCTGCGGCTCCAACAAGCTCCAGGTGAGGTTTTGCTGCTGGTTCAAAGACCACAGTTTGAATAGCAAGAAAATGAGAATACTGGTCAGAGAGATGAAAAATAGCCACCTAACTTAAATTCATTCTAAATCTCCTTATACACCTCACTGTGAAAATATGGACTGTGCAGGAAAAAAACTAGTTTGGTAATAAATTAATCTTGGACTGATTGTTTTCTATTCATTATTTTATTCTGCTAATGTAATTGTTCTATGGAGCCATATAGATTCAGTTCAGGGAAAAGAAAGAAAAATTGTTTGCTAGTGTTTAATTGCAAAACATTAGCTTGCAAAAGTAATTGTATTTGGCTATCAATTCACACCTATTAAGCCTGGAATCAATTTGCTTCACTCTGTCTCTTTTGGCCATTCCCAGACTGCTTCAAATCAGTGAAAAACAAAAGCACAAAGTTTAAAATTCTAGGCATAATGCACCATGTGGTAATAGTTAAATAATTATGGAAGGAGATTAACAGCTATATAACTTTATCATCAGTGGGTGACTAGTCTCCAAAGGACACTGCACCATCATTTCAAGCATATTCCAGCACATTCCAACCTAGCACAAATACTGCTAAGAAATTAAAGACCAATGGCCAGCTGATTGGGCTGATAATTTAGAAATTATAAATTATATACAAAAAAATCTTATGTAAAACTATTATGTAAATACTGTTACGAGGTAGACTGCCATTCCCACTTGGAGCCTTAACACTTACGTGCCCTGATTGTCATGGTTAAGAGGTCACTGAATCCCTTCCTCAATGACACATATTAAATGCAGATGACTAACCCTTACTTCCTACGTCCCAACCCCAAACTCTCCAACTATTACCAGCAAATCGTCAAAAATCTGTCTCGGAGCTCCTGCACACACGTCACTGTGCTAGTCGCCCACTCTCATCGCCACAGAGGAAGCTAAACTGAAGATCTGGCACCATCATCCCGATAAAATGGCTGAATCACAGCAAGGACCAGGGTCGGGTTATGGTGGCAGGAAAGTCCTTAAAATTTCTTGGATGAGGCTCCTATGTGTATATTTAACTTGTTCTGTGCCTAATCGTTTGGAGCTTAGCAGAGGATTTTCAGGTAGGCCAGGTCATCTGTTAGGATAAAATCCTCTACTCTGTCCTTAAAGCACATCCACATCTGTTCAAGTAGCAAAACTATACCTTATTCTCCACAGGGTCATGATCCAGGGCAAAGACCATTCCCATCTGCTGGCCAAGCAGGGTTCTATAATCTGTTCCATCAAAATGCATGTGTCGAATGTCTTGCGAATTGGCAAACAGCAAAAATGGTTGAGGTCCTGTCAACCAAATTTCAAATAAGACTACATTTAAAATCTGCCTTAGAACCCAAGAGGCACTTCCGACGCTTCCCTGTCATTGCACCCTCTTCTGCGATTTCTGCAGTACTTGTTTTCTTAATTTCCCACCAGTGCATCACAGGAAAAGACAGGCAGGAAGACTTCCTCTTCCATAAAGTGACGTATTGCCAGAATTTCATCACTGGAATCTTCCCTCTCTAGATGGCTGCTTGTAAAAGCAAATTTCTTATAGAAAGAGCTAGCATTAGATGACCAACACCACAGCTAAGCGCTGCAAGTCTTAGGGCGGTACATCTCCCCGATTCACACGTACTAAAATATTAATATTAGCAGATTATACAGATTGTATACATTCACGTCTGATAAAAAACTTCCCTGGCCTGGGCACTTCTGAAAGGGAGGAATTTTTATTATTTGAGTTAATAACAAGACCCCTGACAATTTTCAGGACTAAGATTATGCTCTATTAACTAAGGCCCTGAGAAATTAACAGCCTTGAGGTCTCTGTAGGGCAAGCTCATGCAATCATCATCATGCTATCCCAGCATAAGGCTAAGCAAAAGGAACTTTAAAAAAAGACTAAATCAATTTGGTATAAATCCAGATTTACAAGGCTGGATTTACAAGGTTGAAGGAAAAAGAGCTGTGATATCATAAGATGAAAAAACAGCCGAAGCATACAAACTTCATGTTAAATTTGGATATGAAAAGGACAAAATTTATAAAAGTATTATGATTCTTATATTCAACAGAGAGATGAAGATCAAATCAATCAACAATTATTTATTAAGCATCTCTTAACAATAAAGTGTTCTGAGACCATTCTGGTCATGACTTTCTCAAATGCTGACAATACCATACTTGACATTATGGCAAATCTTTGGTGCATGCTAATTATTAATACCCTAGAAATATTTCTCAAAAACATGATCATTAATGTTGTTGTTATTTATATCATTCATATTTGCAATGTGATTTGTTTTGCATTTCTCAAAATACAAAATCAGATTTTCTATCCAGAGGCCAAAAGCAATTCAAGTTTCCATCTTTCTAAATGAAATGTTGTTTTCATGCAATCTTTTTGCAAGGGACACACTTTCAGACAACAGCAGCACTCACCTGAAGCTTCACAGCTTTTTTTATCCAGTTGTAGACCATACCCAGGAAGGCAACCACATTCCCAGGACACCGGGCTGAGAGGGATGCAGAGCTGGCCACACCCACCATTATCAGGTGATGAACAGCCTACAAAAACATTTGCTTGGTAAAGATGCTCTGTCATTCAAAATATAACAATTCCTCGTCAAAGTGTTGGAATAAGCCAACCACATGTTGATTTTCAAAACCATATACAATCATCTCTACTGCTATAATCAAGGTTATTTTTCAGAAATTAAAGGCAAAATGTCACGGCACCCTCCTCCTTCTAACCCAACATCTTGGATGTTAACCCTTCACATTCCAGTGGTCCCTGTCCTCTTGTTCTGCCAGTGAGTTCAAGAACAAGCACACTGGCAGCTGGGTGGAATAAAAGATACATTTGGTGAGTTTGGCAGCTGGTCTAACTCTTCCTAGAGAGTAATACATTTTTTTCCTCTCTTGCATTTTTGACTTCTTTTGCTTTCTTTATTAAAAGATCAAAAAGCCACATAAAACTCTTTTGCTAATCTTGAGTGATATCCAGTTATATGCTTAAGTCTCTGCAGATAAAAGTAGAGAGGTGTTCATTAGGTGCAAGGAACAAGCAAAGCATTCTGTTTCTGCCGTCTCATGTAATCCAGGGGGCAAGCATCAGTCCCTCTGCAGACGCAGAAACGGAAACTAAGAGAGGGGAAGTAACTAGACCCAAGTCCAAGCTGCCAGTAACTGGCGATGCCACCTCAGGGCTGCATAACTTCAAAGTCCTTGCCCATAACCACTGCACTATGCTGTCTTCAAAACAAAACAAAACCAAAAAACTCAATCTAAAGCTCTATGCTAATCTGTTGGACAAGTATCTTTTTTGTTTCTTTTCCTCAAATATACTTTTCTGAAAGATAAGTATCTTTCAAGGTATAATATTGGAAAATCTATTTTCCTTTGGCAATAAGATCGATTTTTATGTGTCACTTAGAAAATGTATCTTTTCAAAGAAACAAAAGGTAAGCAAACTTACCACTACACGTTTTTCCATCTGTCTCAAGCACTGAGCCTTCAGGACAGAAACACATGGGACCATCTGATGTCATAACACAACCGTGGCTACATTCAGATACATTGCCCGGACAGGAAACATATTCTTAATGAAGAACAATGTAAAAAATTAGTGTTAAATCAAGTCTGGGAACATTTATTACAATCAGTTGCTAATAAAAAATGCTATCCTAAAAATACTAGGTTAAATAAAGATCAAACATTTACGAAATGCTTGAGATATACAAATAAAGAAAAAAATTCAGATCTAGGAAACTTAAAGACAGACCTTCGATTTTGGAAAATGACTCTAGTTCCCTCTGAGTTTCTTTTATATCAAATAAGAGTTTTAAAGTTATTAGTCACCAAAATTCCAAAATATTTTCAATGAAACTTGACCCGTGATTCTCAAGTTCATCTGGAAAACAAATTACATGTGTGAGAAAAACTAAGGACGTTTCGTGAGCGTGGTTAGGTATAGGAAGAGAATGAGAGGCTCTGAACAAATACAAAAATGTATGATAAAGGTGCAATCATTAAAATAGTGGGGAACAGGTGCAGGAATAGACAGAGGGTAATAGAACAGGATAGAAAGCTTATTTTGGAAGACTTGAGTACACGTAAGAATTGTACTGTGTTGGATGTTATTTTAAGTCAGTGAGCATGTGAAAGATCAGTCAATAAATGGAAGAGAAATAACAAAGTAATGATTTGGGGGAAAAGTTAAATCCCTACCCCATACATCAAAATAAATTCCAACTAAAGTAAAGATTTAAAGGTGAAACATGTACCATAAACGTTCCAGAAGTTGTGAAAGTCAGATGAGATTATATGTGTTATGCCTTGGCACACAGTGGCCCCTGTCATTAACATCATTCACTTTTGTGTATTTGCCAACAGGCAAACCTTGTGATACTAGGAAAAGGGCAAGTTTCATAGACAGGCAAAAAGATAGCAGATAATTTCCAAGAAATTAATTGTCATTCATCCATTTCATATGCCTGTTTCATAAGCACAGAGTAGACCATTCCCCGTCATCTTTGAAACAGGACCAGATAATACACAGGATTTTAAACATCCATTTGTACTTAGCTACACTAGTACCGTGTTTCCCCGAAAATAAGACCTACCCATAAAACAAGCCCTAGCAGGATTTCTAAGCATTTGCACAATATAAGCCCTACCCTGAAAATAAGTGATGGGCATGGCTACACAGCTTATCTGCACAACCCATGCAATTCGTTACGGAGCAGTAAAGAAGACGAGCAGCCCTTCTCATCTGCCCTGTGAGAGTTCTATTGCTCGACATGAGAGATTGGGGCCAGTAGTTCTAAAGGAAATAGAGTCGCAAGAAATTCAGGATGGAATTTGGGGTTTGGAAAGTTATGATGATGTTCCAGAAGACGACGACTTCACTATATTTGAATCAATGTAGATTGTTATACTGTACTTAAAAAAAATAACACATCCCCTGAAAAGAAGCCCTAGGGTGTCTTCTTGAGGAAAAATAAATATAAGATCCTGTCTTATTTTTGGGGAAACACGGTAGCTTCAATAAGAAATCTACCAGAAGAGATCTTAATATGTGATCCTAAATTTGAATCGGCAATATACACACAAATTCATAATATATTTTCTCTTTTTAATAAATGCGTATTCCCAGCTTTAATACTTAAAAAGGCCTTAAAGCAATGACTAACACAGTAGCAGATTGTGTTTTCTAAATACAATTTCTCATTAAAAGGAAGCAGTGCTCCTTGAGAAACTGTTGATTCCAGGTCTAGAATACAAAATATACAAGAATATGAAAAGTACAAATATCTCCTATCAAGTATAATAACAGGGAAACTATCAAAGACTTCTGGGGTCAGAAACCTAACTGAAGAGACTCTCACTGGCCAAAGAGATGATTTGCTCATCAGTAAGGATAACAACTGTGATGGGTTGAAACATTAAGAAAAGTTTAAAATCCATGGGTTCATAACATTTAATATTTTTAAAAAAAGCACTCATTGGCCACCTTTGAGAGGCATCAAGGAACCAACCTTTTATTCTAAATATAAGTAAATAAAAACAAAAACCCAGCATTTACCTTGCCTTAACTGCAAGAATTGTATCTTGAGGTAACTAAATAGTTAATGAGAGAAAGTTCTCTTTATATAGGCATTCCACTTAATAATTAAAAAGAAATATCAGAACTAGAATATCACCATTTGAAATTCTTGATGAAATAATGGATCTAGGAGATGGATGACTCATGGCTGCTACCACCAGCCTGAAAGACTACTGGGGAACTTTATAAGTAAGTGAACACGCTGATCAATTCTAACACCACAGAAAGGAACAACCGTTTTGTGACTCCTGACGGAAGTACAAACACATCTATGAAGTGTTCTTGCCAAAAATGTCAGAGCTGAATCTGATTAAGCCTGTAGTTCTAAGTTTGCAAAAATGGCAGGAACATGACAGAAGTGTGGTTAGCAAAATCCAGGAAGTGAGAAACTCTTCAGGAAAAAAACCCCATAGTTTCTTCAACAAATATTCTCAAGAGGAAAAAAGGGGGAATCTATAGAATATAAAATAGGTGTATCAGGCCGGGCGCGGTGGCTCACGTCTGTAATCCTAGCACTCTGGGAGGCGGAGGCAGGCGGATTGCTCGAGGTCAGGAGTTCGAAACCAGCCTGAGCAAGAGTGAGACCCTGTCTCTACTATAAATAGGAAGAAATTAATTGGCCAAGTAATACATACAGAAAAAATTAGCCGGGCATGGTGGCACATGCCTGTAGTCCCAGCTACTCGGGAGGCTGAGGCAGGAGGATTGCTTGAGCCCAAGAGTTTGAGGTTGCTGTGAGCTAGGCTGACGCCATGGCACTCACTCTAGCCAGGGCAACAGAGTGAGACTCTGTCTCAAAAAAAATAAAATAAAGTAAAATAGGTGTATCAAGTTAATACAACACATGGGGCTTGTCTGGATACTTAAATCAACTGTTTAAAAGAACTTCTGAGGATAATAGGATAAATTTGAAAACTAACTAGATTTTTTTTTAAATTTTTTTCCACCTCCCTGCCCACCTAAAACTAACTAGATTTTTAATGTTATTAAGGAATTATTGTTAATTTTTTAACCTATGATAAAGGTATTGTGGTTATACCTGAAAACTGGCAGGCTATTAAATGATAGTAAGGAATTATAGTTAACTTTTTTAGATATGATTATGTTTTTACATGCTTATCCCTTAGAGATATAAAATAGAATACAATATAGATAATAATTAGGCATAATATAAGATATATATAATAGTATAGATAAAGAAACAGGAAAATAAATAGATTTATTTCCCGATCCTGGAGGTTTGATTTAATAGGTCTGGAGCAGAGTCCAGTCATCCATGTTTTAAAAAGCAAACCAAAACTCCGAGGTTAATCTGGTGTGCACTGCTGATTGAGGACCATGAACCCAGATCGCAGCCACCTTGGAGACATTATTGAAAATGAAGAAAAATAATACAACGAATCCTGTTCCTGTGACTTACGATGGCACCGTTTCCCGTCGGGAAGCAGAACGAATCCCACAGGGCACGTGCAGTAATAGGAGCCGGCGGTGTTCTCACACCCCAGAGTGCAGCCGTGGTTCCAAAAGGCGCATTCGTTGACATCTGCACCATGACAACAGAAAAACACACACGGTTGTCTTTGAAAGTATTAATAAACTGGGATGTCGCTGATGCGTCCACACAAAGCAGGGTATCTCACACTTCCACATGCTGTGACCGACCATGGGGAGACTGGCCTTCCAGCTCTAGCAAGGATGAAAGAAGCCACTTCAAAGATCATGACTTCCACTCTGTCACAGCTCATACTTTCAAATACAGGTATAAGAATCGCCTTATACTGGTATTATAGACATATTAAAAAAGAAAAAGAAAAAAAAAAAAAAAAGAATCGCCTTGGAGAACAAGTGGGGCTGCTTCCCTTGAAAGGCTGTAACATGCCGTTTGAGCCAGGGACTCCAAAGGCTGAGGACATGTCCTACTCTGCTTTTCGCCCTTTGAGAGTGACCTGACGTCTCACCCGACTCCTCACACCGAGTCCTGGCACAGACTGTGCCGTGCCCATCGGTCACTAAATCGCTGCTCTGCGCCTCCCAGCAGCAAGGACACAGTGTTCCTCCTGGGTTCATCAAACTGGGCCTAGAACCTCAAAACAGGAGGAGCCCTAGATAACCAGCCTGGTTCACAGTTTCCCAAGGGTCCTACCAGACTTTTATGAGATGAGATGTTAGAGTCACACACTCTTTGAGAATCTTTTTTTTTTTTTTTTTTTGAGAGCAGAGTCTCACTCTGTTGCCAGGCTAGGGTGAGTGCCGTGGCATCAGCCTGGCTCACAGCAACCTCAGACTCCTGGGCTCAAGCGATCCTCCTGCCTCAGCCTCCCGAGTAGCTGGGACTACAGGCATGCGCCACCATGCCCGGCTAATGTTTTCTATGTATTTTTTAGTTGGCCAATTAATTTCTTTCTATTTTTAGTAGAGACGGGGTCTCGCTCTTGCTCAGGCTGGTTTCGAACTCCTGACCTTGAGCGATCCTCCCGCCTCGGCCTCCCAGAGAGCTAGGATAACAGGCGTGAGCCACCGCGCCCGCCTGAGAATCTTATGCTAGCTCTGGAACCACGCCTTTAAAAAAATTGCATGCACTGAAATTTTGCTCGCAAATGCAAATGCACCCAGGCGCGGGTATAGCCCATTCAGGGAATCCCGGCCCTAGAGCAATGCCCGAGCCGCCTCTGCGGTGTTTGATCTGGAAACACAAGACAGAAAGACGGAAAGTGTCCATAAAGGCCATAAAAACACAAGAAAAAAGTTAAAATGCTTTTCTGGGGGAAAGGAGCGGGTGGACTCGAAGCTGGTTTCCCGCTCGGGCCCAGGGTGGTCTGTGAAGCCGAGCCCGGGGCCCCAGCGCGCCGCCGCCGCGCGCCCTCTCACCTTCGCACGACAGCCCGTCGGGGCTCGCGGCGAACCCGTCCGCGCACGCGCACTGCCCAGCCAGGGCCGCGCGCGCCGCCTCCTCTCCACCTTCGCACGACAGCCCGTCGGGGCTCGCGGCGAACCGTCCGCGCACGCGCACTCCAGCCCAGCGCCCGGCCGCCCAGCGCGCCCTCTCACCTTCGCAGACAGCCCGTCGGGGCTCGCGGCGAACCCGTCCGCGCACGCGCACTGCCCAGCCCCAGCGCGCCGCCGCCGCCGCCTTCCTCTCACCTTCGCACGACAGCCCGTCGGGGCTCGCGGCGAACCCGTCCGCGCACGCGCACTGCCCAGCCCCAGCGCGCCCGGCCGCCACAGCCGCCTCCCTCTCACCTTCGCACGACAGCCCGTCGGGGCTCGCGGCGAACCCATCCGCGCACGCGCACTACCCAGCCAGCGCGCCCGGCCGCCACAGCCGCCGCCCTCTCACCTTCGCACGACAGCCCGTCGGGGCTCGCGCGAACCCGTCCGCGCACGCGCACTGCCCAGCCCGGGGGCCTCGCCGGCCCGGGCCGCATCCTTCCTTGCGCTCGGCAGGTTTCTGCTCTGAAGAGAAGGGGGTGGTTGTTTGCGGCGGGGACGTGCTTTGGCGGAGGGCGTGCGGCGCCCTCAGAAGTTGTATCTCCCCGCAAGACGCCGGCAGGCCTGGGCTGTCGCCCCACGCCCTCCCGCCCTCCGGCCCTTTGCTTCTCTGAGGCCTTGCTTCTGCGCTAGCTCTCGGGACAGGCCCTAATTAGCTGGGGATGCCCTTCCTTAGGCTGCAAAGACTGGACCTGCTTAGGAGCTTTTTCACTGTGACTGTCAGCAAGAGCAGCACATAAATTCTGAGAGTGAAATATCCGTTGAAGACATAAAAAAGCTCCAAGCTTCATCACCGCTTATAATTTGCTAACAGAATCAAACTAATGGAGAAAGCGAGATCCACTGCTATCTCTCTTTCCTTCCCCATACTTTTCTACTGCCTATCACCTGGACTTACGTGTGTTCTTATCATTATTGTCACCATTGTCACCGTCAGTTGTGTACCTGCATCTTTTTTTCCATTAATTTTTCCATTAATTAATGAGCTGAGGATAAGGCATGTGCACATTTATAATCCCAATAGCACCTGCTGTGGTGCTTTTACAATCATAGAAAAGCAAACGCCTGCAATACACACGCAAAAACTTGCAACCTGCAACCTAACTTAGGTCACCTGCAACCTAACTTCCTTGTTTTTTCCTTGAATTTCCAGTCGACCTTGGCGTTAGAACTCAGATTGTCACATGCCAGCCTAGTACTGTTTCCACTATACCATGCTGTTGATGGCTTTCATGGTACTTACTAATAATATACATTACTCTTCAATAATGAACATGGACAGGAAAGTAATCATGATTCTCTGCTTGGTGGTGCTGATGATGTGACCTGAATCCAGACACTAAACACTTTAAAAGGTCATTTTAGGAAGTGGCAAAACACAGAGGATTGAGGGTTATATTTTTGTTTAATCTCCTTAATCTTCTGCTGTTCTTTGTCTTCGAATAGGCCAAAGCTCACACTCAGACTGCTGCTGCTGACCTCAGAGCTGAGCAGTGGGGCTTAATTACCTCTAAGATCAATTAAAGCTCCTAATCGTGGAGTTTAAATATCCACCAACTGCGCCTTCAGTAACTGCCTGAACAACACACAGGCACTCGTGAGCTTTGCTACGGCCGTGTGAATCTATAGCTTTACCCTGGCCCAGTTCTGAAACAATGCACATGGGATTCCCTACCCTGCTTTTCTCCCCTGAACACATCTTCTTTTTCTAACTCAAGTTCTGTGTAGACTCACCTTGTCAGCAAAGCCTTTCTGGTCTCTTCCATTCAAACCCATTCACTTGTAACTATTCAGCAATCCCCAATATCTCACGCATAATAAAAGACTGGAATAGCACTTTATAAAGCATACATATTATCATATTTAATTTTCACAGCAAGCCCTGAGCTATGCAAAGCAAGTGTCATCTTCTACTTTTACAGATTAGGAAATACTGCCTTGTCAAGGATCGCATAGGGAATAATAGAACTGCGCATAGAACTACCACTCCGCCCCAAGCCTTCTGATTGTAGACCCTCTCTCTTTACCATGTACATAAAACTCTGTGTGTTTGTACACTTATGTGTGTGCAAGTATAAGTACTTGTGTGTGTACATATATAAATGTATAAAATATAATAGTGGGTTTTGTGAAAATTCTATAAAGACTCACAGTTATATTTTTGTTTCCTTTGTTTATCGTCTTTCCCATTAGTAAGCTCTCAAAAAATGACTGCTTCAACTTGCTCAAACAACTTCTCAAACTGCACAGTACAGAAATGTATCCTCATCCGTTAATGGCCGTACAAGGAAGAACATGCAGTAATGGGCATTTTGTGCTCTTGGAATTGCTAATCATCATAATGAGAAATCACCTGGGCAGAACTCAGCTACTCGGCATCCTTACCCATCTGAACTCCTTTAAAAATCAGACAGTAAACAAACCAACAGCCTCTAAGCAGTTAAAAAATAAATGCTTTTTACTCTCGGAAGAGCCCCTCGGCCGACTCAGTCTTGCTTCATTTATTCCTGCTCTGACAGTTTGGCTGGCCCGTGGCACAAAGATGGAAAATACCGGATGTACATTCTCCACTCCCACCATCACCACTGCCCCCACCTGCATTCCCTAGTGGCAGGAGTGACTAAACGATTCCAGTGTTCCTTTTTGCTGAGCCCAGACAGAGCCTCAAATTCACATTTCGGACTATCACTATCAACAACAGGATACTAAGACACTATTTATTCTGAAAACAGGTAAATTAAGGAATAGGATCAAACATTGGATTTACCTTTTCTATAAAAGTTCCTCCTCAGGGAAATCATATATCTGATGTGGAAAACATTATTTATGTAAGAATTCCAGCTAACAAATGCAAAAGCAATGATAGAATTAAAATGTCATCACTCTGAACCTCTAATAAAAATATGGCTCTGGGCAATGATAATCAATAGCTTCTAAAATTATTATTCAACAGGCTAATGCAGCATTCTTATAAAAAATCTGACTCTGATCAGTCTTCTAGGCCTAAACCACCAGTTTGTAGGAAATACAGAGGGTAGAGAAACATGTTAAATGACACCATGGGAATCCAGAAAGCAGGAAATTTTACAGGACTGATGATCTGGTTTCCTGAACAAACAGATGGCAAGAAAAAGCCTCAGCTTAGAAAATAAACAGAGGCCACAGCCATGCACATGGAGATCAGCAGGATGTGAGAGCCATAGCAAGAAAGAAGACGCAAGAATGAAAGAGAGCAGTCCCACGTGTTTAGAAGGCATTGCAAATGGAAGCCATTTGGTGGCAGGGCAAACCTATGTCATAAAACCAGCTTTGCCCCAGATCAATCCTACGCTTGCTCCAGTGGCACGCATCTCTGTAAATGTGACTCTGGTCGCTAAGAAAACATCAATAACTATGAATGATGTTGGAGAAATATCTATCTTGCTAAGATTTGGAAAAATATCTATCTTGATGTTGGAGAAATATCTATCTTGCTAAGATTTCTATGAAAAATAACAGAGCTTTGTGTGTTTAAACCGACAATCCAAAATTATACGAAAAAATATTGATCTCTCTAGGATGATTCTTTTCCAGAGGTTTCCAAATAACCAAGGATTTACAGCAGACACTCCAGCAATGAAATAATCAAAATGAATCAGAACCCCACCTTGGCAGTTTTAGCTACACTAATTACTTCCAGAAACAAGTATATTTCCAGGTGGAGGCAATTACCCTTCATGAACTCAGAGAATTAAATTCAATAATATTTTTTGTGCATAAAATGAACACATCTTACACAGTGTTGGTCAGAGATACCCTTTATTTCCCAAAGAATATGCTTTTGAAACTCTCTTATGAGCTTAAAACTGCAATCTACATTTAAAGAATACAGGGAAAAAAGCAAAAATATTTGGACTTTTTACAAAGTAATGTCTGTGAGCCATAAACTAGTTGCAAAATCTCCAGAAGTGGAGCTTGAAATATTCTCATTAACATTGTGTACAAAGAAGTTCCCACACTGGCTCTGAGATTCGTATAATAGTACAGGCATCAAGACAGCCAGGGGAGCTAGCTAATATGTTTAATCGTGCCAACAGAAACGGGAGTCTGTTTTCAGACGGCCAGGGAGAAGTGAGAGAAAAAGATTTTCTGAGTTTCTGAAATTGGAAAAATAAAAAAAGAGAGAGAGAAAGAAAGAAGGTTTGGTCCCATGATCTCTGCAGAAGGAAGCATTTACCCACCAGGGGGCCATAGATAGACAATGACATGCTGACTTAAACAGGTTTTCCCAACACAAACCAGGCAAATCTAAAGTATGAAATGACAGCTAACCGTGGGGGAGAGTCTAGTTGAGGAGGCAGTGTGCTATCAGTCTACTGGGGTTCAAATCCCAGTTCCACCACAGATCTTGGACAAGCTATTGTGACATCTCCAAACCTCAGATTTTTAATCTATAAAATGATACTCATTATCACACCTAATTCATACAGTTGTTGTGAAGATGAAGTGAGATAATGGAAGGAAAGCCAAGAGCATACAATTTTGTACACACTCAATAAATATGGGACTTGTATGAGTCAGAAAGGCAATAGGCACTTAGATCGTGTATATCTTTAAAACTTGTTCCTTGTGATATTATTTAGGGGAGAGAGTGCCAAAGGATTTTTTTTTCTTTTGTTCTTTCAATTCCTGTTCATAAAAGTCCTCTGGGCATTGGGAAGACAATAGAAAGGTGTACTCCCTGTCCTGCCAGGACCAAGGGATTTAAGAAAACACAATTATGGCAAAGCATGGCAGGTGCCATGTGATTGGGGAAATTCTCTGGAGAGAAATTAAGGATGACCTTGTAAGAGACCAGAATGTGCCCCTCTAAATATGAAGGGTTGTCGAGCTGAATGGTTCAGAAGCAGCAGAGGCAGGAAAGCTCTCTGCCCTTCCTCTAATTGCCTAAAAGCAGGACATAAATTTACAAAGACCAAAGGTATCCAGCCTCCCCCCTCTACCAGGGAGAACAAAAGTTCTGAAGACAATTTTAGACCCTTCTGGCCTGGCCAGGGCACCAAAGTCTCCACACTAACCAGCTTTATTCAGTGGCCTGTATCGGCCATTGATCTGCCTTCCCCCAAGTTGCTGCCAGTAAAAACTCCAAGTCCTTTTCCTTTGTCTTGTCCCTTCTCTAAGACTCTACTGTTCTTTGTTGAGCATGCCATATAGGCTGGAATTGAAGGCCACCTCTTTGAGAGCTACTCATTTCCTAGGTGTCTCCCAGGTATCTATGAAATGTGCATGGGAATAAATTTCTAGCTGTTTTTCTCTTGTTTATCTGTCTTTTGTTACCGGGGTTCATTCCAAATAAGAACTTATGAGGACTGAAGAAAAAATTATTTTCCCCCCACAGACTGTTAGTGTCTGACTGGAGCAAGTATATGGCTGGGAACCCTGTGCCAGGCCCTGCGGGAGATCAGAGGTGACTCACCGGACTCCTGAGCTTCGTCCTTGGCCATGGGCTGTACCAGCGGATGCACGACTTTAAGCTCACCAGGTGGTACCGATGATGGATCGAGGCTAATTCGAACCACGTCTTTCCCAGTGTGTTTGTTGGCTGTCCAAATTATCTTCGTTTTCCGTGTTGAATAGAAGATACGGTCACCAAAAAGGGACATTGCAAACACATTGTGCCTAAAAAAGCAACCGATGGGGGCGGGGTGGAGGGCAAGAAATGGCAGGACATTTGTTCCTTGGCTTATTAAAATGTCACTTCATTTCAATGTATTGTTCGAATTTTAATCCCTTATCTTTCCCCTTGTTTCTCATTTAGGGCTAGAAAAGCATATTAAGTTTACAGTTTTATTTGTTGTCATCAGAATCTGAACTAATAGCATATAATTTCTACCTCCAGACCTATTGTCTCATTATTCTCTTACTCATCATATAAGGGTGATGAAGATGGAGGAGGAAATAAAAACAGGATAAGAATGGGTTTCCAGGTATATCAATTTCACACTTGACTCATTTCTGCTCTTGCCGCAAGCTGGCAAGATCAAGTTGCTGGTGTTAGATTTGTTAGCAAATCTAACAAAAGACAGGTGCTTCACAAAACATCTGACACAGTAACTCCAAAAAGGATAACTCTGGCCAACATGTGAGAACTTATTATATGCGAAATAGCCTGTTGATTATTTTTATTTGCATTTATGTACTTTGCACAACGGTCCCAATACGCGGCTACTATGATCATCTTCACGTTAAAGGAAACTGAGGATGAAAGAAGTTATGTAACCTCCCCACAGTCATTCCACCAATAAATAGTAAATCTGGCAACTTGAACTCAAAGTCTTTCGGACTCCACAATCTAGTTGCTGACCCACCGCACGAGTTCAGGTGACAAAGGGAAAGTTAATTTATCTCACAAACTTCAAACGATAATTGTTTCATCTTATGCCAAAAGCAAAACTTACTGTGTTTGATATTTGCTAAGCTGGACAGAACCTCCGTCGTAATCGCAGGAACAGATACGCGAACCGCTGCCTTCTCTGCCCTGCTGGATCCAAAAGAGCCGCTTGGCGGGCACATCCAGCGCCATGGCTGTCACGGGCTGTGACGTCTCCAGCAGGGTCTTCACTTCCGCCCCGCCGAGGTCTGCTCTGTGAAGGCTGCCGGCCCGCCCCGACGACCAGAATATCAACCTGAGGGCAAACACGTCACGCAGATCCGTGACGGAACGTGCGTGTAGTCACGCACGTTGGATGGCCACTCTCCCGGTGTGCCAGCAGCCCCGCACGCCTGCGCGGGACGAGTTGGACTATTTTGAAAGAAAATTCGATTCATCCAGTATGCATTGCCCCATTGTGGAAATCACATGTGATGTCAAGTTAGGAGAATTGTGCTTCTATAGCAGAAAACCCGTGGCAGTTAGGAGTGTTTGTGGGGGGGCCTGGCTCAGTTCGAATCCAGGCAACTGTCCTATTGAAAATGGGATTTGGGTGCTGTAAAAGAGGGCCTTTGTCTTAAGGAGAAGGTCCCTTTGAGTTCAAAATGTAAGGATTCTATGCGTCTGCTTTAGATTTTGAAATGCATTTCGATGTCTGAATACAGTGGAATTTACCTTGCTACTGGATCAACTGCTATATTTGCAGGATATTTTAAGGCACTTAAAAGAACATGGGAATTATTTCCTTTCATATCTGTTACTGTAATGATTCCTTCCTGTTGATGTGACCAAATAACTTCTTCATTTATCCAATTTATTGCCATTCCAGAAACATTTTTCTCTATATGGCACACTCTCTGCAAAATCAAATTTCAAAATTGTTATTAATATTTCCTCATTCGCAGCAAAATTATTTTTATTGTTATATGTCATTTTTACACATTCCCAAAATTATTTAATTGCTAAAATAGTCACAGATACAGTGCCTTTGTTTTGATACAGAAATATTAACCCTCACCCCCAACCCCACCCCACGAGTAAATATTTCTGGCCATAGTAGTTATCTCACAGCTTTGAAAATGAAAATTATCCTATATGCTATTGAAATTAGGCATAACGTATTAATGCCTCACACATTCTTATTAATTAAAATAATAATATATTAATAATTTCAACTGTAGCAAGAGTGGAATTTCGATGCTGCCTTAAAGATAGTTTATTCAATTCCATTTGGGAATGGAATTTTCCAGATCCTCAACTCATCTCAATTCCAAGCTTCGCCAAATTCGGGCAAGATTCCCTTAGAGTTTGAGCATAAAGCCACGAAGGTGGTGAGTTTCTCGGTAGGGCCTCCCTTCTTCTGGCCCCTTCTCCTCCATCCTCTCTGCAGTCATTTGTACCCTCGTGCCCTGGCCAGAGTAGCAGGGCTTCTCTGTATGCACCTACAACTGTGTTCCCTGCTCTCTTATGATAAAAGCCACCAAACAAAAACCTTCCTTATCTCCCAACTCCAGCTCTGGGCAGGTAAACTGGTCTTCTTAGGGGATGGAGGTTGCAAGGCGGGCAGAAGTGTTGGTTTGTACAGTTGCAGATTTCCACGGTGTAAACATTCCCGCTGTGGCAGATTTCCAGCTGCCCACGTGTCACTCCTGACCTTGGGGTTGGGCTGAGATGGCAAATCTCATGAGTCTGTGTTATTCCTGCATCTCACGCAAAGAAATCTAGCCAACCTGTTTCATCAACCGCTAATAGATTCATAAAGTAGCTCACCCAGGTAAATTGTTTGTGTTTTAACAGTTGTCCTTTACAAACAATGTTTAACCCAAAAGAATATTAATGGTGAAATTTGGGGCATTAGGCCAATCCTTTCCTAATGACTTGACATAAATTCATAACTATTTGCAGTTTTTCTTGTTTCGTGACAAGAAACTCTCCAGATTCTTAGACTCAAGATTTTGCAATTTACCAGGAGGCTGGAGAGGAATGAGTAGCCATCCTTGTTAAAAGTGAGATTAGCAAGTATTAGAGACCTGATAAAACAGATTAGCACCTAATTGAAGCTTTTAAGAATAATTGGAAGGAGAAAGTTTTGAATAAAAAAAAAATACAGTGGGTACTTTGTGTTGGGAATAAATGCTTGAAGTTTTTCTAGTCACGTGCTCTTTGTAATCCATCTCCCAAGATTTGAAAGAACATTCCTCCTGGGACTCATTTAGGCATTCTACCAGCTAAAAAGAGAGATTAAGAATCTTTTGTATCAACTTGAAGTAAAATACTTTACATCTGTCGTCTGCTTTGTTTTTTTTTTTTCTAGAGAGCAAACACCTTGAGAATAAAAAGAAAAACATTCTTCTTCCTACATGTCAGGTGACAAAACCCATAACAGAGATTTTATATGGATAAAAAAGGGTTTCTCAGTCTCAGCATGATAGGCATTTGGGGCTGGATCATTCTTTATTATGGTGCTGCCCTGCCTATGGGAAGGTGTTTAGCAGCGTCCCTGGCCTCTGCCCACCAGATGCCAGTGGTATCTCCACCCTCGTACTCTGCCCACTGTGACAACCAAAACTCTTTCTAGAAATTGCCACATGTCCCCTGAGGGGACAAAAATCACTCCCCCCTCCCCCAGCTGAGAACCACTGGGGTATCAGGCAAATATCAAAAACTAATCATGCAAATAATCTGTCTTAAGCATAAAATAGTGATCTGACCTAATAAACTTACATATCTTCAAAATTATAATACATTTATATCTGCACTCTCTCCCTTGGGGACTTCTAATATAACAATATATTATGGGCCTATTCCATAATATATTACCACAAGTGCAGATAAATAAAGACTTACATTTGAACCATAATGTAACTTTCATGTATCTATGTGATAAGAATTCAATAGGTCGGGCGGTGGCTCACGCCTGTAATCCTAGCACTCTGGGAGGCCGAGGCGGGCGGATTGCTTGAGGTCAGGAGTTCAAAACCAGCCTGAGCAAGAGCGAGACCCTGTCTCTACTATAAATAGAAAGATATTAATTGGCCAATTAATATATAGAAAAAATTAGCCAGGCATGGTGGCGCATGCCTGTCGTCTCAGCTACTCGGGAGGCTGAGGCAGAAGGATTGCTTGAGCCCAGGAGTTTGAGGTTGCTGTGAGCTAGGCTGATGCCATGGCACTCACTCTAGCCTTGGCAACAAAGTGAGACCCTGTCTCAAAAAAAAGAATTCAATATATTACATTTGTCAGCCTGTACAAAAATCCCTTGAATACCAGGGCTAATGGTACTTTACCTCTTGCCTTGACCCATTCAGAAAAACTCTTTGCAAAAGTTGTTTTTCTAAATCCACCCAATAGATTCTTTCCTCGTTGTAATGAAAGTCCATGATCACTGAGGCACCAGCATCCACCACCAATTGCTCATGATTTGTTCCTTCCAAGTTAATCCTAAAGATGCTGTTTCCATGGGAGAAAATTAAGAAGGGTACAGGACCTGAGCAGAAAGAAAGAAAACAAACTGTATATTTTTCAATCCTTTTTCTAATAAAGGAAAAGAAAAAAAAAAAAAAACTTCTCCATGACAGCTAATATAAGCAGAAATAATATTTAATTCCTGGTTTTATGTTTGAGATCAAGTCAATTGTATAGACAATAAAGAGTTTCTGGAGAGGTTCACAATCAATTTTATAAATTATCTTCTCCACAAACTGATTATAAGAAACGAGCATTGCCAAATTATGAAATGTGAACTATTTAAAGAGAAAGGTGCTTTTTACTCTTACCTATAAAATACCTTTTAATGTTCAAAAAGAAACCCCTCACTCCCATATTATGGAAAGGATGTATGTGGATGTAAATTTTAATTATATAAATTGGAACTGAAATTACGGATATTATCGTCTTGGAAATGGACTTCTCCCTCTGTAGCCTTACCTATGACCGGAGCCTTCAGGGGGATGACATCAAAGATGCTGAAAGCTAAAGGGAGGTCTTATGTGAAAGCAGGAAAAATTAAAATGCCGAAAGTTCTGAAATATTTAGACCCTGTTGGCTTTGCCACATAAAATGCAGGATTCCCGGCTAAATTTGAATTCCATATGTATTGCGTGGGCCACACTCCCACTAAAAAGTTATTCTCCATATACCTGAAATTCAAATGAAACTGCGAGCTCTGCATTTTTATTTGCTAAATCTGGGCAGTGGGCCTCACTGGATTTCCTAGTTCCCGTAGGGCTTTGTGTGGAACCCTAACCCTGTAGCTGGAGCTGATTCCTGTTCCGCGGATGGCCACCTGCCCACTCTGACACCCCAGCACTCCACATCTGCTTGGGAACCTGATCCCTTCTTGGGAAACCTCAGTCCTAATGACTGGCAGCCACCATTCAGAGCCTGCCTTTGGTGCCAGGGGACTCCAGGACAGGGTTTCACTCCCTGCAGTCAAATTGGTTTCCTTGCTCTCTGCTGACCAAGGGTGAGGAGGCTCTGGCCACCCTGCCTGTAGAAGACGATGGAATCCCTGGATGAGAAGGGAACCCGAAGGGAATTCTAACGCATTCTCGCTTCCCTGCTGGGCATGCTGGATTCTGCTCTGACATTGACCCTGACGACCTCAGTGGGACTTAACAGAGGTGTTTATTGTTTTTAGGGAGTAAACAAAATGATGGGTTAGTATCCTCTTACTCAGAGATTATATTCTAGACTCAGAAAACATTAGCTCCACGTTAGAGAATATGCTGGAATAACCATACGAGCGGCAGGGAGAACTGTGAGATCATGAGTTTGAGGCGGTGCCGGCATGGACGGCTAAGGGAGTTAGCTCGCCTCACTCTTCCCTCACCTCTGTGAGGGCGCCGCCCTCTGCCCCCGGCCCGCTGCGCCAGCTGCAGCCGCAGGGCCCGTGCTCCAGCCCGGCGCCTGCCTCTCCGGACGTCTCCAGGCCCCTCTGCCTTCATCAGAGGGTTACGGAGGAAAGGAAAGGAAATTATAAATGTGAAAGTATTTGATTAATTGTGGAGGATGCACATATATCACTGGCCATTGCTTGTTCCCACGGTCCAGATCTCACACACAGGTTGTACGACTGTTTGGACTTGAACCCCAGGGCTGGAACGCGGGTATAACTCGCCTCTGACAGAGCAGTGAACCGTGGAGAAAAGGAAGACACTCGGAAAAGGCACCAAACCCGTAGCTACTAATTTATGCGCCACAGATTGCTACAGGCCTGTGGATTTTGCCAGGAGTCCTCTTTGATATGCGTATGGCGCACGCCCTGTAGACTGAATAAATGTGTCTAGCACATATTATTAATTTTCTAATATATTGATACATGTGGAGAGATCAATAGAACATTTTATCTATTTCAAAGTATTACTAAATAGGTTTCCACCTGAAAAAAAGGAAAAAGGAAAGGCACTCTAAACATTTTAATATTCCTTATCCGAGAACATAGTGCAATTCTTTGTGCATAATAGGTAGTCAAAAATTTTGAATAAGTCAACACATTAATGAAGAAATAATTGTGTTTTGTTTATTTGTCTTGGCTTTTACCAGTATGAACAAATCCATAGAGACTAATAGATCTATCATATTCATAAAAGAAGAGCTTATTCTATGAGCTAGGCTGATGCCACGGCACCCAAACCCAGGCAACAGAGTGAGACTCTGTCTCAAAAAAAACCACAACCAAATCATAGCATGAACTTCTCAAAAAACAAATATAGAATAATTATAAAAATACTAAGTCAAAATATAAATAATTATACATTTGATGTTCAGATTTTGCCCATTCATGGGCAAATCATAGCATGTTAGAACTGGAAGACTCTGGACATTTCCTAATTCAGTGTTTCCCCAAATTGTTTGTTCAAAAGAATCACACAGGGTAGTGTGTGTGTGTGTGTGTGTGTGTGTGTGTGTGTGTGTGTGTGTTGCATATCCCTGCCCTTTAGAGTCCCATAATTCAGTATGTCTGGGCTGAGGGCTACAAATCTGGTTTCTGAAGACACTCTGGGTGGTTCTCTTATCTTGGTGAACCTGGAAAACATGGATCTAGTTAGAAAGAGGAAATTCAATGATGTTTCCCAAAGTCCCACCGCTAGCTGGTGGTGGAGTTGGAATTGGAACCCAGGTACTGTCCTCCCAGTCCAGTGCCCTCCAGCTCTTCCCTGCCCTGGCCTGGGTTGTCGGATGTCAAGACATTACGATCTTCATTGTGTGACCCTTTCTAATTCTGCTTCTCTCCAAACACTGTTCACTTTCCTGCACCGTCAGCATCATCTCATGCAAGCCAGGGCCAACGCTGTATTTGTAGAAATGAAATAGAATACGATTTAAAAGAAAATGAAACACTTCGAGAATTAGGCTTGGTGAAACAGTCATTATTCTGTTCTGCCACTGAAAATGATAAATAAGGCGGTGTTTTCTCAGACCTGTCAAGGACTCTGCCAGCATCGGTGTGTGGCACAAGCTGTGGGTTTGAATGTCAGCAGCAGGTGTGCGTGTTTGAACAGCTAAAGCTTTCCCATGTCAAAACCTACCGCGTTTGTTTGGAGTGTGGTTCAGTAAGAGGGAAGCGCGTGGAAAATGGAACATCATCTCTGAGCAACACAAACCCAGAGACAGCAAAGAGGTCACAGCAAATCAATGGGCACCTCCGCCTTTTCAACCTAGGGATTAATAGGGGCTCTTCGGGAATTAGAAAGGAGTCCAGAATGTCGGGGGCATGTAAAGGCTTTGGTTGGTGACTACAAAGAACTGGGCCTCCAAGGCCCAGGAAGTCAGTCAGAAAAACCAGGCTTTGATTGACAGTGGGCGGCAGAAACAGAACATTTCACAACACAAGAAGTTCTTCACGGCCGGGCGTCTGTGGGAGTGGCCCCACACACTTGCTAAGTGAGGAGACAAATTGTCTTCTTCTCAGGCCTTGGGGACAAAAGCTCCTGAGAGCTAGTCAGCCACATACATGATAACCACAACCAGATCGACAAGAAATCCTGGTCTCCTCTCAGGCCAACCTGCCACCTGCCCTCCCCGCCACGGCTTCCTTGCTCTGAGTCTGAGACAGCGGAAAGAGCTGCCGGACCCTCAAGATTCAAAGGCACCATGAGCAGAGAACGAGCCCCAGAGTGACGGGGCCTGACGCCTCCTACACGGCTCCCCTGTAAACTCTCGTCTCGGGGCGCTGACTTCATGGTATCTTGGGTTTAATGACGTGCAGAGGGTTTCATTTCACTCCAAAAGACCATGCCACTCACAAGGACAGATTTATCTTTGGGGCAATCACAGCTTTCTTCTCAACTGATTCACTAATGTAAAAATTCAGGCCAGGGGAGAGAGAGAAGCCAGGCGCTTCAGAAATAATACACCCAGAAAGGGGAGCCAGGAGATTTGGATTTAGGTCTTAATTCTGTAAAGAATGTTCCAAGGCTCATTTTGCTTCCTGAAAAACGTGAATGAAGATTGCCACCCCAGACCCTAAGGAGCGGTAGAAATGTGTCGTCTAGAGCAGAGAACAGCTCCCAGCGCCCCAGCTGCACCCACACTTGAGCTGCAGGGCTCACTGCCGGGCCTTTACTCATCTATCTGTAATCACACAGAAAACGGAAATCTTAAAACGTCCTTTTTAAAAAAGAATAACACGTAACATTTGATTGTTCTCTTAAGAGCTTTCTTTCAAGATACTTTGTGGAAAGCCCGCAGGACAAACATTCCCGTGGTCACTCCCCGTCCCGTGCCATTATTAAGAGACTAGCCCAGCCGCGGGGAGGGACCACGCCAGTGACGTCCCAGCGTGAGCAGGCCCAGCGCCAGCGCCCGGGCCGGACGCCTCCGGGAAGCCGTGGAGAGCCGCGCTGCAGCCCTCCGTGGCCTCAGCCCAGAGTCCTTTCTCGTCGCTGTCCCGGTAAATGTGCTGCCATCGCTCAGTACACTATGCCATTTTTTTCATAAAATATGTAAAGAAGTGATTTTTGACTTCTGAGAGTTTTTCATGGAGAAAATTTCTTCTCTGCTGCATTTTTCTTGTATTGGCTCTTGAAAAAGAATTCTAGTTCTCTGGGCATTTCATTCATGAAACAGAAGTGTATACGAGAGTGGCTAAGATTACTGGCCCTGGAAAAAGTATACTTATATTGGCTGCTTATTGGCAACAACGCTATAAGCTATGTGACCTTCAGCTCATTAGTTAGCCTCTCTGTGCCTTGGTTTCTTTATCTTCAAAAAATAAAATGGGTGCTGGGCACGGTGGCTCATGCCTATAATCCTAGCATTTGGGGAGTCTGAGGCAGGAGGATCGCTTGAGGCCAGGTGTTTGAGACCAGCCTGAGCAAGAGTGAGACCCCCATCTCTACAAAACATAGAAAAATTAGCTGGGTGTGGTAGCACACGCCTGTAGTCCCTGCTACTCGGGAAGCTGAGTCAGGAGGATGACTTGCGCCCAGGAGTTTGAGGTTGCAATGAGCTATAATGACACCACTGTACTCTAGCCCCGGTGACAGAGTGAGACTCTGTCTCTAAATAAATAAATAAAATGCAGATGCTAGTCTCTTATGGGATTATTATAAAGAATAAATAAATTAATTCACATGAAGTGCTTAGAATCTTGCCTGACACAGTGAGTTCTCAGCAAATGTTGGCTATTAGTTTCTAGAAAATACTATAAGCTAAGATATATTAGAAACACCTTTTTTTAAATTTGTTTTTTGTTTTGTTTTGTTTTTGAGACAGAGTCTCACTCTGTTGCCCTGGCTAGAGTGCCGTGGCCTCAGCCTGGCTCACAGCAACCTCAAACTCCTAGGCTCAAGCAATCCTCCTGCCTCAGCCTCCCGAGTAGCTGAGACTACAGGCATGCGCCACCATGCCTGGATAATTTTTTCTATGTATTTTAGTTGTCCAGTTAATTTCTTTCTATTTTTAGTAAAGACAGGGTCTTGCTCTTGCTCAGGCTGGTTTCGAACTCCTGACCTTGAGCGATCCTCCCACCTCGGCCTCCCAGAGTGCTAGGATTACAGGCGTGAGCCACCACGCCTGGCCAGAAACACCTTTACTTTCACTCAACTGTGCAATTTTTTAGTGCTTATTTCACCAAATTTCCAGCACTGCTTTCTGGGCAGTTCTCCACAATATTTGCTGACAAGGGAACACATTTTAATTTGTTGTTTGTGGTTTCCCATGGATTATTTTAGCAATATTTTACTATCACAGGAAGTAGGAGGAACAATTGCTTTGTCAACAGTCGGAGGCTTTTTCTCTTTTGCTATATTGTAAGAAACCTCAAGAGAGGCTTCTGACTTTTTATTATTACGTTTTGTAAACATAGTCTTAAATATTGTACCTTTACTACTGATAAGAAATCTAACAGGTTTAATTTGCACTGAATGGAATTTTTAAAAATCGGTTGGTATAATAGAAAGACAGACAGCAGAGCCACAGTTCTACAAGGACACTCGCTCAAATCAAGTTGATGTGTTCTTGAATTTTAATAAATATTTCTCTTGATTACAAAAATAAGAGTTATATAATTATTTTGAGTACAGTTTTCAATACTGTAAAACTATCACTGGGCTTTTTAATATGGTATTTTTCCATGTGAAAAAAAATGTTCGATGATTATAGGAGAAACGATGCCACATTTAAAAAATACTGTTAAATATTATCACCAATAAAAATAATTTTAACAATAAAAATATTAATAGAAGCTGAGGCTCGTTGAGTGCTTATGATATACCAGGCCCTGTTTGTGTGGTTTACACATTAACTTAGTAGTTCGAAACCCAGGCTGCCAGTTAGAACCAAGAAAGCATTTTTAAAAATGAGGGCTGGAGTCCACGAGCAGAGGAGCCGGAGCCGGATTGCCTGGGGCGGTAACCTGGGCACCATTGGTGGTTCTGTCCTGCAGCCGGCCTGAAAATGAATGCGACACAGTTCTGACACCAATCTAGGAAGAGGGCGTATTATCCTTATTTTACAGTCAGGAAAATGAGACACATGGCTCACAAGCAGCAGAAGTGGAATTTGAACCCAGGCGGGGCATGGGTCTCCAAGATTCATGTTCTTGACCACTAAGCTCCACCACCGCTCGAAGACCAAAACCTCTGGATATTTAGGGGATGGTTTCCGTTTACGTGTTGTATATAAAAGATCATTTCTGTAATTTCTGTGCAGTTTGATTTTTAAAAAACTTTAGCATAACTCTGGCTGCAAAAACAAACAAGATTCTGATCTGGGAATTACTCTGGTTCGCACATGACTGGGAAGCTGACCAAGCCTTAGCCGGTGCTGAAATCAGTGATTTCGCTGTTTCTGTTCAAAGCGCTCTACCCTGTTGACTAACTTGGTGCTGCCCGGGATCGCTCCTGCAGCCGCCTCTCTGAGGCTAGCCTTCTTCCTCGCCCTTTATTTACCGAGAAAGTTCTTGTGCGTAACGCAGGCACAGACGTCAAACAGGAACAGTTCCTTTTTCACCTGATATTTGTCCTCCAGGGTAAACAGGCTGGAAAGTTCAGAAGCCACTTGCCAGCAGTTTTCTTTCTGCTGTCCTCACCTGCTAGCTCAGAAAGACGCTAAGAAAATACAGGCAATTTAGAAAGGGAGGCAGAGGGAAATGGAAAGAAAACCACATTCTGTGTTGCTGTCACTTGGTTCATGTGGCTAGCAGTCACACGAGTGACAGCCCTGCACCGGGGTGCCTGAATCTTGTTAGGCCACAAAGCATTCTTCCTGCTGGGCCAGAAGGTGGTCTGCCTCGATGCCACGGGCAGGAAATAAGGCAAGTGGAATTTAAATAGGGGGGAAATAGATGATGGCACCATATCTATTTAAAGAGGAGAAAGAAATGCTATCCTCTGAAACGCGGAGGCTCGCAGAGGGTGACCCCGAGGTTATCAGCTAACATGAGACAAGGAGTGTAAAGTTCGGAATTTAAACCAGTGACTTGCAAGAAACAGGGAGCAAAGAGGCAAAGAGGCACAGAGTGGCATCCAGACATTCCACACCCCACGGGGTCTGTGACATGTCGCAAATAAGGCGTCTCGTGGCATGACTTGATCAAAGAGCTGTAGCCAAGATGCAGAGCCCAAGAGGACCCGTGTTAAGCACACTCTGCTAACCGCTGTGCTTGCTGCATTTCGGGTGTCATCATGTGATCTCCATAGCAACCCTAACAGGAGGGGTGTTATTTCCCAGCGACATCCTGAGATAACCCAACAGATAGGTAGTGTGGGTTTGAGATGAGGTTCGTTGCTTCTAAAACCTGTGTCCCTTCCACTCTGTGACACAGCCTCCCTGCTCGCTGGCTCTGTCCTGGGCCGCACGCTGCTGGCTGCAGCCTGCCTCTGCGAAGGCCCTTCTGAGCCCCAGCAAGAGTGGCCAGGAACGCGAGGCCTAGGCTTGCTGTCTGGCAGGAACGAGGCTGTTCCGGGCCCCAAAGGCACTCCTGAACGTTCATTTCTGTAATCTCTTTCCTCTCTGGGGTTGTGCTTCAGCAACCTGGGCTCCTCTTTCCAAGCCACTGGCTGCCTGACTGGCCCTCACCCTCTCCCTCACCCGCCAAGCTGATAGCGGTGCCCAGCCCTACACGCTGGCCACCTACTCCAGGGAAAATTCTCCCACCCGGAGAGGCTCCAGTCCACTTGATTTCATTATGTTCACAAGCTTTTACTTCTGTCTCCAACAGCTCAGCAAGAGGTTCACGGGTCCTCTTTGTCATCCCTTTTTTCTCTTTTTTTGCTATTCTCTAGGACTATGTGCTTAGCACGTCAGGGAAAGACTCATTCATTCAGCAAGAATTTACTGAGTACATACTATGAAAGTGAAAACGTACTAGGTGCTGGAAACAGATAATTAGAATTCAGTCCTTCTGGCAAATGCCCTAGGGTTCCGCTCACCTGTTACAATGAGCAGCGCCTGGTAACAGCGTCCTAGATTCTGAGCAAGAACACCCGATTTCCTTGTTCAGAACTTCCTTAATGGGAGAGCCAAGACGGCAACCCAGCATTGGCAGCTGGGCTCAGTTCTGTTCTCTTTATTCAAACTGTCCTGTACTGTCTTCCAGAGGTTTCTCTTCCGGAGACTTTACTGTGTTCCCCTGATCTACCTCTTTTGGGGAGCCAGACCCTATCTCAAAAGGGCAAGGTGGTAGGAAGGGAAGGTCAGGGCTGCTCAAACCCTCAGGCAGATGGAAATGGCTGCCTGGTCTGAGCAGCAGTTTGCAGACCCACCCAGGGATTAAAGACACGAGTTCACAGGGAGAGAGAGAATGTTTTTCAGGCAAGATCCTTTGGCAGGATTGTAGTTTGCATTCAGTGAAATTCCCATTTCCCCTTGGTTAAAACCCCATTTAATATGAGAGGGATGTGGCTTATTTATCCGTTGTCATTTCTCAGCTGCTCTCAGTTACCACGCACCTGTTACTGAAGAACTGGAGTTGTGTCAGAGCTTGAGAGACAGCCAGCGTGGGAAGAAAGGAAAGGAGGTCTTGAAACTTAGGTTAATTTTCATAATTACCTTTGTTCACAAGTCCCTTTCCCTTTTTCACTTATTGTTAGCAACTTCTGAATTCTTACATGAAGTTCTCTGAAGCAAAGATTTTTTTTTCTTTATGGCTTAGAGACAGTTTCCAATAAACAAACAAAAAACTATCTGTTTCCCTAATTTCCAATATAAAGCTGTTCAACTAAGTGTTAGTTACTCCTCATGTCAGAATAAAAACTGAGGCTTCTGGGAAAAGCAATGCTCAGCTAGTTTAAAATGAGACATGGTCACTCACACACAGAGCAGTTTGAGAGGATTTTCACGGCTGGTAGCAGATGAGCTCTAATAGCCAGTAAGAACATACACATGCATCAGAAAACAAAAATTAAGCAAATATACACACCCCAAGTCACATCAGAAAAAAAAATGTTGGAGTATACAAGGCGGCAGGAACAGGTGTCTGAGGCAGTCCCCGGGGGCTGTGGACACCTTTCACCGGTTACTCACCCAGGCAGGTGGAATTCGCCTCGCCAGCCGGGGGAGCTTCCAGACAGTTCCAGGGCTGCAGTGCTGACAGGCTAACAAAACTGAATTCACAGACCACCGGCAGCAGAAGGGTCAGTAAGAGCAGCATGACCGAGCCGGGCTGAGCTTTCACTGGAAACTGACCTGGTCCTGCTCTGGCAGCGCCCAGGCAAGGCGCGTCTGGGCCGCACGCCGCTAGGCTGGCCCCGGCCCTGGGGCGTCTCTGCCTCCGGGCTGTGCAGCCGCCTCCAGCTCCTCCTGGCACTCCCAGGGCTTCTGAGTGCAGCCTACAAGGGACCTGCAGGATAGATTTCTTTATCTCGGTTGTTTCTGGACGCCAGTTAAGAAATACCTGACACCCTTATGACAAATTTCACAGGGTTTAGCAGCCCCGCTCTGGCTCTGGAGGCCTGCAGGCGACTTCACTGTGACAGGCACAGCCAGGCAAAGGCTTAGAGAGAAAAAGAAAGGAAGGGAAAGAACTGGTGGAAAGTTCCAGCCACAACCTTTGGATGAGGCTGAAGGAAGAAATATGCAGATACGAATGATTCCTCCCCAAACACAGTTTCTCTTTTTGAAAAGTGGAATGACTCCCTTTCCTTTTTAAAGCTCTGTGGGCTCCACCTCCTCTCCGTTAGTGACACTCGAGTGAGCCTCTGTCTGCAGAGGCGAGTGTGGGCCATTCCTCTGGACAGGAAGGCAGGGCCGGCTGCCAAAGAGGAGATAACCCGCTAGGCACCATAAATATTCCAGCAGAACGGACAGCGCAGTTAGGACGCTGCGGAGGGGCTGGGGGTGTCTTGGAGGAACCTGCTGGACACTAGCCATGCTTTGCCATCTCGGAGGATGGAGAGACAAAAGTGCACCAGGTGGTCCAAATCCATGGTGAACATCACTGCTGGTAATTTGGATTTATAATCATTGATCACTCACATAAGCGATACTAAAGATAATTCACCTTCGGCTCATTATTTGACAGAAATGTCAACGCCAGTGCACATTCCTGGAGCTTCACCTTTTTTTTCTCTCTCTCTCCTGTATATTTTATAGCGGAATTTGAAAAATTCTTTCCAAATCAAAGGGAAATCCCTGAAGCCAAATGAAGAGATACAGTCTGCACAGACACTTTTCTTTCAGCATGAGCATGATAAAACGGCACGAGGGGCCAGGGGTGCGGGGAAAGGAGCGGGTTGTTGTTATAGAGCCGTGCTGGAAAAAATAAGCGAATAGTGCAAAAAAGCTGGGAAGCGCTGGGAAGCAGCACAGCTGAATGCTGTTCCTTCTCGGACAGTCCAGGCTGTCACAATGAGAGCCTGACATCTCGGCTCGCTGTCTTGACCACTTTCTCCCTGGGGCAACGGCGGTTATTTCTCCAAGAGCACACCCAGGGCCCAGAAATGTCCAGCTCAGGCAAAACGATTTACACCAGATTTGATGAACAACGGAAATTTCTGCCAGTTTACTCCATCCTGGAAAACAGACTTTCATTTAAGTTGCCCTGAGGTAGTGTTTCAAGTGCTCGTCAAAATGCAGATAAAGCAATAGTCACAAAAATAACCACCATGCCAGCGAATACCCATTACAGAGGAGAACAGAGCAACTGTAGGCCTTTTACTCGTATTTAGTTATGTCCTAGATTATTCTTCAAAGACGAGGTCACTCTTCTAGAAGAGCCTAGCCAGGACTTCCCTGACTTCAGCCAGCCTCTGCCGGGCAGCGCCCCCCCTCCCGGGGGAAACACAGCTGGGCGGCGGGGGGGCGAGGGGAGTCAGGTGGGCGGATGCAGGGAATATTCCTTGGCTTTCTAGGCCCGCTGGCACGCAGGGCTCATGAGTGCCCTGCAGATAACCTGCGCTATTCGGTTACTGCCTTTGTGACCCAGCTTCTCCTCCAGCAAAACAGGGGCGGCGGCAGGGAGGGGCAGGGGACACGGAGCCGCGAGCGTGCTAGTGGAGAGAGAGGAGACGACGGGAGGGACACAGAGACGGAATCATCCGCAATTCTGTTCTGTTTGAATCTGGAATCCCTTATGTTACTTTTGGTTGTAAAAAGGATTTTTCTCCTAATTATGTGTCCCCTGAGCTATTGCTGTCATTGGGGTCAGCTTGGGCCCCAGGAGACGATGGAGTCAACAGAGGCGTAGCGGGTGCCGCAACCGATGGCCCACGCTGAGCGGCAATCCCGGCCCACCCCACGCAGCTCCGGTTGCCCAGGGAGCAAAACCCTAGCACACAGCTACCCAACCAGAAAGGGTTTCCAGAGATATTTAATAATCCATATTCTTACTTCTGGATAACACTGAACCTTTCCTGGGCAAATGAGCATCCTCTTTATTTCAAAGTAGACAAGAAATCCATTATACCTTTATGGGTTTGGGCTGCCAAATATGTCCTAGTTTCTGGAATCGAGTCAAAACGAACTAATTCATCAATTAATTAAGCAGCTATAGGGCACTGCACGGAGTACAAGAGACCGAAGTCGTGGTCCTTCCCTTCGAGAGCTTGCCGAGGTTGATTAAGAGCAACGACAAAGAAGAGTATGTGAGCATGAGCTAATGCATGGCCGGCTGCCAAGTGTCCTGGGTGTCAGGGAAGAGGGGTTGTAACGAGCTCTGCGGGCTGGCGCGGCCCTGAACGAAGCTTTGCGGAGCAATTAGGGAGCCTGAGATGGGCACGGACCGTGATGACAATGGGATGTGCTACAGGAATGGACAAACTACTGCTTATTCGTTTCTTACATCGCTAGGGGCCCCAAATGGCTCAGACATCAGTGGAGAAAGCTCTGGGTGCTTTTGAGTGCGAGTGGACGGCAGTGGCAGGAGAAGGGCGGCTGCAGGGACACACACTGGTGTGTGCTGGTCACTATTCGAACTTTTCAGATAAAATGTCCCCATTGAAACACAAAAACCTTATTCCTCTGGGTTACATACTGGCCGTTCTGAACAGCTCTTAGGAACCACGACTACGACCACGCCAGGGACAGATGCCTCCTGCGAGCCAGGCACGTAGGCTCTAGTGACCCGCCCCTAGTCCTCAACGCTACCCAGCAAGGTGGATATTATTACCAATGAGGACCCTGAAGATCAAAAGGGCTGAGTAATTTTCCAAAGATCACACTCATTTAAGGAGGCTATGAAGTCTGAAGTCATCGTTCTCTCCCCCTTAGACGGTGTCTCTTTCTGGAATAAACAGATTGGGGCATCGTCAAAGGAAAAGCAAAACTGGTGCTACACATGTGGATGTGATAGCAGGCTCCAGTGACAAGGCCTTACGTTCGGGTAGCAGTCACTAGTAGCACCGAACGTTCACCTGTAGACTTGGTGCACAGGTGTTTCATGGACCGCCTCTGTCAAAGAGCCTCCGTATATCAGGGAAGCTCCTACAAGAATTGAAAACCCTTTCTCGTTTTGCGGACAGTGGTTGACACGTGTCTGGCATTCTGTGTGACTCATATGTGGCAGATACTTAAATTGCATTAAGGGAAAGAAATTGGGAGGGGCACAGGCACAGGGGTTAGCTATGAGGGACAAATGACAATTTATCAAGATATGGACACCAGATATAAAAGTTTTATTGAAAAGAAGGGTAATTATGTTCCCTGGCATTTACCTAAATGCACTGGAAACTTATGTCCACCAAAAAAACCACAGATTAAATAATGCCATGTTGCTACCTAATGATAACAGATTTTTTAAGGCACTTGGTAAACAATAAGTAAAAAAAAAATCCTGCCCGTGTTTCATTTTTCGGCTAAGTCCACCCCAGTTACCTACAAAGGTTTCTCAGACCCAGAAGAAGAAACGAACTTCCAGAAACTGAGTGGATAAAAAGGAAGGGTATAACAATCCACAATATATAATTTATAACTCTATAAAGGAGCACTAAGATTTAAGTCTAAAAAAGAAATATGTCATTTTAAACTGCATTGCATTTATTTACATAATCTCAGCATGCCTCCTCACCATTCTCCCAGGTATTTTAATTTCTAAAAATGTCAAGGTTTAGGGAAAGAACTCTGACTTTTCTATCATTCCCAATACAATCTTTCCCTTCACCTTCAATTCTGCTGTATCTATAGGAAGTGCAGTACTATCAAAGGTGAAACATGTGAAGGATTGACAAGACAACTAAATGTGCTGTGAACTGCATGTAATTAAACACTACTTGCTAGAACTAATGAAAATGCAAACCATTATTCGCAGCTCTTCGTTTGCTCTGATTATATCTATAAAACTGCAAATCGGTATCCTCATTCCCCTTTTCTACCTCCAAACCCAGAAATTATTTAGGTGAAGATAATCATGGTTTGCCACTCAAATCTGGAAAGATGTATAAAATAGATGGTGAAGAGAAAATATTTGAGCAAGTGACATACATATTTTTAAAATGTGAAATACCAGAGAAACAAAATAAATTAAGTTGCTTTCATGTGGTTTCCCCAGCCTGACTTCTTATTGACATGCATTCATTTTTCATTTTTATTAAAGTAACATGTACATAAAGTGAATAGATCTTAAGTGTACAATCAGATGAGTTCTGATAATGTATTATATATACACACACGTAACCAACACCTTGACCAAGATACAGAACATCTCCTTTGTCTTCAAATTTTCCTTTGTATTCTTTCCAGTGAAACTCACTCATAGGCGACCATCGTTCCTATTTCTTTCATCATAGATTAGTTTTGTCTGTTCTTGAACTTTATATAAATGCAATCATGCAGTACGTTCAATCTTGTATCTAGCTTCTGCTGTTTAATGTAAAGTTTTTGAGATTCATCTAGGTTGTACATATCAGTACTTCATTCTTTTTCACTGCTGGGAAGTATTCTTTTAAATGAATATAATAACACAATTTGTTTATCCATTCTCTTTTTGATGGACTTTTGGATCATTTCCAGGTTTGGCTCAATGAATGTTTTCATTTCTCTTCAGTTAATACCTAATTGCTAGTTCATAGGGTAGGTGTATGTTTAACTTGATAAGAAACTGCCAAACATTTTTTCCACAGTGGCTGCTTCATTTTATACTCTCACTAGCAATATATGTGAGTTCCAGTTGTTGCACATCCTCACCCACATTTGGTGTTGTCAGACTTTCTTTTTTTTTTTTTTTGGAGACAGAGTCTCTCTCTGTTGCTGGGGCTGGAGTGCCATGGCGTCAGCCTAGCTCACAGCAACCTCAAACTCCTGGGCTCCAGCGATCCTCCTGCCTCAGCCTCCCGAGAAGCTGGGACTATAGGCATGTGCCACCATGCCCAGATAATTTTTTCTATATATTTTTAGTTGGCCAATTAATTTATTTGTATTTTTAGTAGAGACAGGGTCTCACTCAGGCTGGTTTTGAACTTCTGACCTTGAGTGATCCTCCCACCTCGGCCTCCCAGAGTGCTAGGATTACAGGCGTGAGCCACTGCGCCCGGCCTGCTGTTGTCAGACTTTCTAATTCTAATCATTTTTGTATGTATGACATATCAAACTGGAATTTCAATTTGCCTTTTCTTAATGGCTAATTGTGTTGACCATCTTTTCATATGTTAATGGATCATTCATGCATCCTCTTTTATGAGACATCTGTTCAAATCTTGTACCCATT